CAGAGTACGGCCGGCGCAAGCGCAACCGCCAGATGGAGGTCGCCAGCCGGTGGGTGGCGGGCGAGACCGAGGAGCACCACTCGGTCCAGGTCCAGGGCGACGGCACGGGCAAGACGCGCTCCGAGCCTTACCTCCCCAAGGAGCCGCGCCCCGCCCGGCCGGCTCCCGGCCTCGACCGGTTCCGCAAGAGCTTCCGCGAGGCCGTCTCCCAGGCCCTTGCCAGGTGATGGATGCTACGACGTCTGCGCCAGTCCATCCCTCACTCTTCTCTTGCAGATGCATATCAGAAGACACCACATTCTTTCGCCCATCGAGAAGCCCGACAGATATACGGTCGGTCGATCCGCAGATCTCATCCACACGTACCGGACTTTCCTTTCTACACCCTCTCTTGAACATCAGTGCCCTTGGTAGATCCACAGACCGACCGACCGACCGACGGACACTACCATTACAGTCTAGCCAGCGTGGCCATTCTGCCCTCATTGTTTTCCCCCTGGACCCCCCGACTTCATACCCTCTCGTTTGCCGTCCGGCCTTGTCAGATACAGAAACTTACACTACTCGCTCGCTTCCGAATCCTACGTACCTGCCTACTTTGCTCGACGTTGACGCTCTCGCCCCTTTGGCGCTGCCCTGCGCTGCGCTGCGCTGCATTTCACTTGCCTGGCTCTCGCTGCCCGGCTTGGGCCGTGGGGCAGCCAGGGTCATGACTTGGCTTGGCTTGGCTTGGCTTGGCAAGCGAGGGCGAGGAAGGGCGCCAAGAAGATGTTTGGTACGTGCGGCGGCAAATTGGTGCGGCGTGTGCCTGCCTCGGTCTCGCCCTCTCACACCTCATCGACGCGAGCTTCTATCCAGTCGACCTGGCTAGGCCTGACCTAGGCTGGGCTGGAGAGGGATGACGCGATCGCAGGCCCATCCCTACCTACCGTAGACGTCCCCGCACAAACCTATGTAGACTCATGATTGCACGCAGGCGCAGGCGCCGGGGGAAGCACCCACCCACCCACTCCCCGACCAGGGCGGGCGCATCGGAATGACATGTTCCGTCCCTCCCCCGCACTTTCCAGCCCGCCCGGCCTTGTTGGCGCGTCTCGGTGTTCGCCTCCCCCCCCTCGGGCTTGGCGTGCCCGCCCGTCCGCCTGCCTGCCTCCCACCTCTCTGTTCCGCTGTCGAACCCACGCTAAGCTTTCGATTCGATCTCGACCAACGACGACCGAGTACAAACCTTATCGCGAGCACTTCTTAGCCTGCCTGGTCTACCTGGTCAGCTGGATCGGAAGGGTTGGCGGCGACGCATGCGGAAGCCCCACCACCGCGCGCATGTGTGTCTTCCAGGCACCGTCGATGTCCTTTTACAGTAGCTCGACAGGTGAATCAGGGCTGACTCTGCCGTCGCCGTGTCCGCCCAGCTAGAGTCAAAAATCGCCGTCAAAGGGAACAAAAAAAGGAAGGCGATAAAAAAGATCTCCCAACGTGGGGCTCGAACCCACGACATTCAGATTGAGGTTCTGTGATGAACACAGAGGCTCTTGGATAAGAGTCTGACGCTCTACCGACTGAGCTAGCCGGGATGGTGATGTCGGGGGCGATTCTGTTGCATACATTAGCAGCAACCGGCTCGTGCACCATGAACGCCTGCAGAGCACGGGCGTCTCACCTCGTCGCTCGCCGGGGGGGTCTCTTCGAGCGACGACGGTGGCGGGCGGATGCCGGTTGGGATGCATGCGTCCACCTGCCTATCGAGCACCTCTCCAACAGGCCGGCCTTTCTCACGTTCGACACTTCGCCGAGGGCTGGTAAGGTAAGGGTTGTAGGGTTGGTCGCGGGGGATGCAGGCAACATGGGGACCGGAGCTTCGAGTGGCTGCACAAGATGATGATCGACCATCGATGCGGCAGGCGGCTCAGTCGGACACCACGCTCTCGTCGCACTGAAGCTAACCGCCGGAAGCAGAGGGTCGCCGTCTCCGTCGCACGGCCGGTCCATCGTTGACCGTCCATCGACTCCGCCCGGCGCGGCGCTGGTAAGGGGGGCTGTTCCGCAAATGGCACAAGGCCGCGGACCCGGCGAGCTCGTGCGGACGGAGCTGACACGTATGCACCTGAGCGGCTTCGGCGACGGCGCCGGCGACGGCGACGACGACAACGACGACGCGGCGGAGTGGCGGAGCTCGACGGAGCGAGAGACGGCTCCGGCGACGACGTGTCAGCTCCGCCTGCCTGCCATCGTCGCCATCATTCCCCGGCTGCTGCTGGTACTGCAGGTAATCTCAGAGCCGCCACTTCCTCGCACGCGTACCCCGCGATCTGGATCGGAGCGCCACCTCCCCGACCTCGCCGTCTCCTGGCATCCTCGATCCGTCCGCGTTCCTGGAGAGGAGAGAGGAGTCGCTCTCGTATGCAGCCAGAGGTCGTCGACCTTGCAGTCGCACCAAGGCGTCCTGCTCATGCTGCTTACGTCGCGTCGGTGCCGCTCAGCTGGACAACCAACCCAGCGAGCGCGGCTTGATACGATTGTGATATGCCATCGGGTGGCAAGACGGGGCCCAACCTTGTTTGCCGATGGAAGCATACGGAGACAAAAAAGCGAGGCCAAGGGGGCCAGGAACATGCGCCAGCTAGAGTTGGACCACACGGCGAGCAGCGTACGCGTGGGCCACGATGAGATCTTTCGACGGGCCGGACCGTCTTCGCCCATGCGCTGCTTCGGCAGGCAAGGCAAGAGAGGCGGTTAATCTCTGGTTCCACCGGGCAGCGAATCAAGGCGGCCGTTGCCCTCGTCAAGCGTCAACGTGACCCTGGCAACCGCCGAGGCAAAATCTCCCGACGTCTGATCGCGGGCCTCCTTCCCACCCTTGACGCCCGCCGCCGCGTCCAAGGGACGACGTCGCGCGATCGGCCTGCTGCTCCAAGGTGGACCGTCGACGTTCTCTGCCTCGAACTCTCACGAGTCCTTCCTGCGCGATATCGACGTCCGTACGCTTCCTTCTTATGGCAAAGGGGTCGGCACGGTTTGTTCCGCAGCGCAGGCATCGCTTCGTGCAACGATTGATGGATGCTCTTCGTCCCAGTGCAAGCGAGGCAGATGCGCCGCCGCGGGCTGACAACAAAAGCATCGACGCTGCCGCCGAGAGGTGGGACGTGAGGATTCCCGGCGCAAACGGCCACCCAACGTTGCGGCTCGAGGCCGCTCGCAACCTCTTTCCTTGGTCAACCAGAGCGCCCACGCCGGGACGTCGAGAGCCGCGCCACCGTGACTTATCAGATACGTACCGTACCGGACACCTCGCAGAGCAAACGCGCGCGCTTGCACTCGCTGTCCACCGAATCGCGGCAAGAAAATGTCGGAAGGGAGCTGGACGATACATGTGCAGCCAACGGGAAGGAAGCAGCCTCGCGCCAAGCACCAAGCACCAAGTGAGCGCCTTAGATTGCCCCCACGATGCATGCTGCTGTGAGAGGCCGGCCGACAGCCTGCGCAGGGCGGCAGCAATTTGGAGCCCCAGACTGCTGAGATTGGGTCTTGGCGGCCAGCATCCTGGCCACCACTATGGGCGACGTATGGCGTGGGCCTGCCACCACGTCGAAGCTGTCGCGACCGTCAACCAAGCATGGCAGGCGAGCATCGACCCTTGCCAGCCGGTTGTCTGGGGCCTCGTGGAACAAGTTAACAAATGGCCGAGGAAGCGATGGCATCAGGGGCGTACCTGCCTGGCTTGCCTTGCTTGCTTGCTTGTTGGGCTTTACCAGCGCGTCGATGGCGATGGCGAATTGAGGTGGCAGGCTTGCCCAGCGTGAACGTCTTGCTGGCATCGGAGGCCTCGGACCTTGGCGGACTTGGAGGCGACAGGCCAAGCTAAGGCCACCGTGCCGGAATGCTGAGCAAGGCGAGGCTTGGAGTGGCGAGGCCAGGCGTGGCGGCGCGGGGCGGGGCGGGACCAGAGTCCTCACAGCCAGTCAGGCAGGCCATCCGCCTTGCCGCCTGACCCGTCGTGTCGCGCTGCGTCCCCTCTTCCCCAACTGCAACGCATGAGCAAGTTTCCGGTCTAAAATATGTACGACCTCGCTTGGGAACGCCGAGGCATGTTCCTGCGCTCGCCGTGGATCCTTTGGTCATCGCATCCCGCGGTTGCGTCGGCAGTTCGGAGAGGTCACGGCTGGTACTGTACCGGCTGGGCAAGGCCGCCACGATGAGGAAAGGTGAATTGACATATCGTCCGCCGCCGCCGACGACGACGACGACGATGAACGACGATACGATGTTCTGTTTTCGATCTTCGTTGGTGTGGCGGAGCGCCGATCCAGCGTCTGTGCTGGCTCGTGTTTCGCCCTCCGCCGTACAGGTGTGCAGATCCCTTGCCTGCTCCCCCGACGAGCCGACCCTTCTTTCGTGCCCCGATGGCTGCGTCGGGGCTTCGAACCTCTAGCTTGGGAGTTGTTTCGCTCGCTCGCACGCTCGCTCGTCAGTGCAGCGGGCAGGTTCCAGCTTGAATCACCTCTTTCCCTGGGTCGTACACACGCACATGCTCCGGTGTTTTCCTGCCACCTCTTGGTACACCCCCTCGTCCTCCCGTCGGCGCGTGTGAACAGACAGGCAGAATCAGCGTCGTCGTCACCATAGATCTGTCTGCGGCCACGGTCACCGGTATGCCGAAGCATTCGCTGACGGCCGCCACAGAGTCGTCTGCGGGAATTCCAGCGCGGCCCGCCAGCTGGCGTGGCATGCGTCTGGCTTTTGAAAATGGATCGAGAGAAAGAGAAAAATGCGGCAGCACATGTCGGCAAGGCTGCGCTCCGCGACAGCGCTGCGCCATTTCGGTCGTCATCGCTGGGCTGGCCACCCGTCCCCCTTTCTCTCTCCTTATGGCGACGCCATGATGCTGTTCCTGCCTTCGCGGCTCATGGCGAGACGCCCGTGCTCTAGAGGCCTGTATCAGGACCTGCCTGCTCAGCAAAGAAGCAACAGAAAAGCTTGCTTGCCTCCTGGACAGGTGCACGGAGTGCTGTAGCCAGAGGCCTGCCTGCATTTGAAGCATCCAGTCGCGAATACAGGAGAATTTGTATTTGCTTTTGTCCTGATTTTTCGACCTGCGTTCGTCCATTAGGAATTTCGTCTCTGGATCGTTTTGAATCTCCCGCCCAGCGCGGCGGCGTTGACCCCGACCCGGCTCTGCGGCTCATGCAGAGCGCGCGGCACGGTGCGGTCTAGGCCGAGCATCGCCTCTGCTGCTGCTGCTGCTGCGCTCCCGTTCCTGCTCCTGCCATACGGCGGCTCGACTCTCTCTCCGTCTACAGGCCGGGGCGGCAACCAGCTGCGTACGCTTGCTCGTCGACGTACGCACCGTGCCGTCGCCTCCTGGGGCGGATCGCCCCTCTTCTTCTGCGGCCGCGTATGGGTGCCCGAGCGGGTCCTTGCCTTGCGTCGATGCCCCAACCGCCTGTGCCCGGGCGTGTGAGCATTCCCATCCTCCCCGACGCCCCCCTTTCGCCGCCCAGCCTTGAGCTGCTGTTGCTTGATTATTGCTCCCCGACATCATCGTCGAATGGCGTTCCTGGGGCCTGCCTTTGCTTAGCGCCGGAAGCCTCGTCTCGCCGTTCGGCCAGGTCCCACGCCCTGGCTGGCTGTAGCTGTGGGCGCACGCACGCACGCTCCTCACGCACATCGAGGCCCCCTCCCTGCCTGCCTGTCTCTCTCTCTGCCGCCGTGGCTGCCCCGCCTCCGGGACTCTCCCTTCCCTACCTTGGCAGGCACCAGCTGCCGGTCAGTAGCTGGCCTGGCCGTGGCGACAGCAGGCGCCAGGGCCCACCTTACGTCGTGTACTCGGCGCACCCTGACCCTAGCCTGGTAGCCCGCACAGGCTAGGCAGCGAGCAAGCAGCACCTGGCCGAGCCTTGCCGGCTGTCGGCCCTTGCCCCAGACACCACATCTCTCCCTCGCTCTCCCCATCCACCCTCCTTTGTCCTCCGGCTCAAGAGATATAACCCGATACGTGGCCCGACCGGTTTCCATCGTCAGCCCGCCGGTCATCCTTCCTTCTCTACCTTCTTCACCACCACCCCTTTTGCCCGTCCCCCTTCTCCCACCGTCGACCAACATGCAGCTTCGCCTCGCCACCGTCCTCTCGACCCTCGCGGCCGTCGCTGTCGTCTCGGCCGCCCCCAGCCCCGCCCCTCAGGGTGAGGCCGCCGGCGACCTTGGCCTCATGCCCAACCGCAACTACGACTGGAAGCGCGATGCTCCCGAGGCCGCGGGTGACCTCGGCCTCATGCCCAACCGCAACTACGACTGGAAGCGCGATGCGCCCGAGGCTGCTGGTGACCTTGGTCTGATGCCCAACCGCAACTACGCCTGGAAGCGTGATGCTCCCGAGGCCGCTGGTGACCTTGGCCTCATGCCCAACCGCAACTACGCCTGGAAGCGCGATGCTCCCGAGGCCGCTGGTGACCTTGGCCTCATGCCTAACCGCAACTACGCCTGGAAGAAGCGTGATGAGGCCCCCGAGGCTGCTGGTGACCTTGGCATGTACCCCAACCGCAACTACGCCTGGAAGAAGCGTGATGAGGCCCCCGAGGCCGCCGGGGACCTTGGCCTGTACCCCAACCGCAATTACGCCTGGAAGAAGCGCGACGAGGCCCCCGAGGCCGCCGGTGACCTTGGCCTGTACCCCAACCGCAACTACGCCTGGAAGCGCGAGTACAAGGCCGAGAAGGCTGCCCAGGCCTGAACCGCTTCGACCTCTCTTCATGATCGGGTTGGGGGCGCCATCTGTCTAGATGATTCGTGAGTGTCGCTCGTCATTGCCCATCTTCGCTGTTGGGTGCGGTCGCCGTCGTCGGGATGTCGGATGCAACATCGGATGTTGACCACTCCGTCCACACCTCCATCTCCTCGTTGCAGGCTAGCGACCTAGATCGTCGTCGATCCGCTCTGTATCATTGCCATCGCTGGTTGATCTGGCTGCTGCCGTCGCTCCCCTTCTACGCTACCTCGACGCTATCCTTTGCTGGGAAGTTCCCCACGCGGCATCTCACCGGGTCTGGGCCGGGACACCCATATCGTTTCTCTTCCTCCGTCGCGCATCTGCTCCGATCGACTGCCCCTCCTGTCCGCGGCACCGCTCTGTCCTTGTGTCTCTCCCGATACTTTGGAACGGCGACTCTGTTTGCACGCCGGGCGCACGCTCGTTACCTTCCCCCTTTCCCCCCTTTGGTTCCCGCGCTGTACGCGTCCGCAGTCCTTTGCCCTCTGTTTCTCTCGTCGTCGTTCGCTGGTCTGTTTCCCGCTCCGCTCTCTTCGTCTCGCTCCTTGTCTCTCCCCGTTGTCTCGCCGTCTAGCTGTTTGTCTCTGCGCGATGTCGGGAATCGTTCGATGAAATGGAAATGGAATCGTAAAGGACACCCTCCCGGTGCGACGCTGGTCTGCTCGTCGTGGATGCTCGTTGGTCGCGTGGCTTGACGGGCAAGTCTCTCAAGCCTCTGTTCGCGCGGCCACGGAGGGGAGGGGGAGGTAGTGGACGCGCTGGCGGGAACCAAGGGGAAGCCTCGCCGCTCTCCATCAGGCCGGTGCAGCAACGGAGGGCTCTCGATGAAGCCCGACGGCACGCTGCGCTGTGCATCCTTTGACAGGCATGGGGACCGAAGTGGGTCGTCGATCCGCTGCTTGACATGACGACCGGGGCCGGGCGGGCAGCCAAGGACCCGCACCACAGGCAGGCTCGCTGCACAACCTTGGACGGCAAAACACGTCTTCCGCCGTTACAGCGCTCGTCGCGCCCTGTCCCGGAGCGGTTAACCGGGAAGAGCGTCGGTCATCGTCATCATCATTGCAGCTTGCTTGGTGCCGTGCGCTCGTACCTATGTACCTACTGTTCCGTCAAAACGGGACGGGCCGGGCCGCTGGTCTGCTACGCCCCCACCTCTGCAACGTGGCCCGACGCAGCTTAGCCTGCCTGCCTGCCTGCCTGCTTGCTTCTCCACCTCGACGACCCGGGCCTCGCACGGTGCGTGGCAACGCGAGACCCGGGAGACGGCAACCAAGCAATTTGTTGGTTTGCACCCCCACCTCTGCTTCCGACCTCGATCGCCCTTCGTCCTTCGTACCGTCGTCCGCATCTGCCTCGACCAACCCCGCCATCGGGACCCGTCCGCGACCAAGGACGGACGGCCCACGACGGCCATCAAGCCGACGACGATGCCGCAGCAGCAGTCGCAAGCAAGCAGCGAGGGCGCGGCCAAGACGAGGCCAAGGTCCCGTCGTCAACCTTTGGAGGCCCCCAAGTCGACGACGAGGAAGCTCGTAAAGGCTGTACTGCTGGGCGTGCTCATGGTCCCCCTGATCGTGAGTGGGCATGCCCGACAGGCGGGCGGGCCATTCCGCCTCCGCTTCGAACCCTTCGCCTTCTCTCGCTGACCGGACAAGCTGACGCTCCGTGTCAACGCCCTGCCTCTTGTCCGTGATCCCACCCGTCCCGGCAGGCCATTGGCATTCCCCTCATCGCCCCGGACCTCTTCATCGACGAGGGCAGCGTCCTGGCCCAGCTCTCGACCTTCTTTGGCGTGCCAAACCCTCTATCCGACGGCAGCAGCACCGGTGCAGGCGCCTTCACGTCGTCGTATTCCTCCTCGCCGCTCCACCACAATGGCACCGGCTCCTCTTCGGCACCCCTGACGGGCGGCCACACCAACAACTGGGCAGTGCTGGTGTGCACTTCCAAGTTCTGGTTCAACTACCGCCACATGGCCAACACGCTCGGCATGTACCGCACCGTCAAGCGCCTCGGCATCCCCGACTCCAACATCATCCTCATGCTCGCCGACGACGCGGCGTGCAACCCGCGCAACAAGTTCCCGGGCAAGGTGTGGGCCAACTCGAACCGCCAGCTCGACCTGTACGGCGAGAATGTAGAGGTCGACTACCGCGGCTACGAGGTCAGCGTCGAGAACCTCATCAGGGTCCTCACGGGTGAGTGGTGCGCGGGTAGTGATTGCGTGCGGAGAGGCTGGGCAGCCAGAGCGGTCGTCGCCCCCATCGAACGAGAAGCTGACCGGCTCATCGAGCCCCTCCTCGCTCTCCTCTTGACAGGCCGAACACCACCCTCGACGCCCCGCTCCAAGCGGCTCGAGAGCGACGCCCGCTCCAACGTCTTCCTCTACATGACGGGCCACGGCGGCGACGAGTTCCTCAAGTTCCAGGACCACGAAGAGATCTCGGCGTTTGATATCGGTGCGTCCGTTCCCCCCTTGCCTCGTCCCTGACCTCGCGCGGCGCTCCGCTGCTGACCCGGGCTTGCCCATGCTCTTCTCTCTTCTTCCTTCACTCCTTGCCCCGTCCTCGCGCACGGCCCATCAGCCGACGCAATCGAGCAGATGTGGGAAAAGAAGAGGTACCACGAGCTCTTCTTCATGGTCGACACCTGCCAGGCCAACACCATGTACAGCCGCATCTACTCTCCCAACGTCCTCGCAACGGGCAGCAGCAAAAAGGGCCAGAACTCGTACTCGGTGCGTTTCGTGCGGGCATCCCTCCGTCCTCAACCCCCTCGCTCTCGCTCTCCCTCCCCTCTCTTGTTGATGAGCGGGTAAGCTGAACCTCGTCGACTTGCTCCCGCGCGGCCCTACACTAACACGGTGCTCGTCCTCGTCTTCGCCGCTGCTTCGACGTGAACCTCAATGTCTACAGCACCACAGCGATGGCGATCTGGGTGTGGCGATGATCGACCGGTTCACCAACCACGTCCTCGAGTTTATGGAGGACAAGAACAAGACGAGCGAAACCACCATGCAGGACCTCGTACGTCTTGCCTTGTCTGGTCTTGTCTGCACGCCGTTGCCAATCCGACTCACCTTCCACCCCATGTTTCTCTTCGGCCCCCCGGCGTGCGTGCGCGAGCGCGGCTGCAGTTCGACAACTACAATCCGGACGTCATCCACTCGGATCCGGGCGTGCGCACCGACCTCTTCCACCGCCCCCTCGACCACGTCAAGGTGACCGACTTCTTTGGTGGCGTCGCACAGGTCGAGCTAACCAGGCCTGCCGCGCGCCTCGTGCCGACGCACGAGGAGCTCTTGGACGCGGTAGAGCGCAGCGAGCAAGGGTACGAGGTCGTCCCGGGTCGCGTCTTCCTTTCCGCGGCCCGTTGCCAGGGCGCCGGCCAATCCGGTGCTGGATGCGGCGCGGTCTAGGGTCATCGTTCATGGCCATTTCACTGGATTCTGCCGCTCGAATGCACGGATACAAGGATAGACATGGATGGACGCAGGAGACCCCGCCGCAGGTAGCTCTTCCCTGGCTAGAAGCATGTGCAAACGGACAATTCACCAGACTCACCGGGTTTCTCCCGAGTGGCGAGACTGCCTGGCGCTTAGAGTCCCGCCAAACGGGGCTAGCAGACCCGCCCAGAGCTAGACGGGCTTGCTCAGTGCAGTCAGTAAGCCTGGCGCGGCGCAGCACAGGGGCCGAAATGCGCAGCCGCCGCCAGCGCGACGAGTTACGCCTGGCATCTGACCGAGGTTGCCGGCGCCTCTTTGCTTTGGGCAGCCGCGATCTCGGACCCTCGTCCCGTCTGTCCGTCGTTTGCGTTTGAGAGCAGGACGACACAGCATCGTCAGTCGGTAAGTATCCAGCGCAGGCCCAACCCAAATCTTACCGGGGTCCAGATGTCGAGACGGCTGGGGCTGGGGCTGAGTAGATGATCCATCGTCGCAGTGCAAGGACCATCGGCGTCGAGGCCACGAGGTGAAGAGGGCACATCGATCTTGGGCGCGCGACCACGTCGTCGTCGTAGAGGTGAGGCCGCCTCGCCCGCGCATTCAGACCCGCAAGGAAAGCGCTGTCGTCGTCCGCGACCTGTCGAACGCTAGGAGCGTCTTGCCGCCCTTCCATGACACGAGATCAGCCGCCGTTCATGCCTCCAATCGAGCGAGAGATCCGTCTGCAGCGCGCGTGTGAAGTCCCTTGACCGTGATGCGTGCGGCACCAACCATCAGCCTCTCGCCGCCACCTCGAGCGGCGGTTGGCCTTCTCGATGGGCCATCTTCGGAGCCTTTCGAATCGACGCTTTGCCCGTCACACTTGAGCGCGCATCGACCCAGTGCTGCCTCGTTCCGCGAGGTTCAGTGAGCTGCCAGGTTGGACCGCCTTTGGTGATCGACCTCGAAATCAAGACCGCCATCGAGAGATCCAAGATGCGCCAGGAACCATCCTCGACCTTGGTGCTTCGCCCGCGTGCCATCGCTCCGGTCCGGTCCTGGCGCTGTAGGAGCGGGATGCCAGCTTGCCAGGGGCGCCTCGAGTAGGTCGACGCCGGGGTGAGTATCGCTCAGGTATGGATTGTAACAAGGGCCAGGAAGGGGGGATATCGCGTCATCGACCGGATCGATCAGGGCTATAGGAGGGCTTCTTTCGTGGCAACCGGAGACCGGCTTGAAGGAGACCGAACGATTCGAGGGGACCATCATTTGAACCAATCATCATGAGGCCGTCACAGTTTCCGAAGGTCGTCCGCCGTGCGAGGGATGCTGCGGCGAGGGTGGCTGGCCGACGCGTTTCGCGCGCTCGCCACGACAAACGCGAGGCCACCGCCTCGAGTACTGGCGCCGCCTAGTCGTCGCGGGGCGGTCGCTCGTCGTAGTCGCGCTCGCGCCTGGGAGGCGGGCTGCGGCTGTCGTAGCGAGCCGGCGGGAGTGGCTCCCTGCTGTCCTCGCGCCTGCGAGGCGGAGGGCTGTCGTCCCGCTTCCTGGGAGGCGGGGGGCTACGCTCGCGGTCGCGGCCACCGCGCGGAGGTTCGGCGGGGTCGATGCGGAGCTTGTAGCCGCGCAGCTCGATGCCCTCGATCTTGTCGAGCGCCTTCTCGTAGTCCTCGCGCTGGTCGTACTCGATGACGCCCTCGTCCGGACGCGTGGGGTCGACATCGGCAAACGAGATGGAGCCGTACTCCCTGCCGATGTCCTTGAGGTCCTGCCAGCTGGTGTTGGGAGGCAGGTTGGACACGATCAGGCGGAACTGACCGCGGCGAAGGCGGGGAGGGCCTCGGGGCGGCGGACCACCGCCGTAGCCACCACGAGGGCCGTATCCGCCACCGCCACCGTAGGGGTCGCCGCCGCCGAATCCTCCTCCACCGCCAAAGTCGCGACGAGGTGCAGCCTTGGCAGGCTGGACGAGGATCCTAGCGGAACGGGTGGATGTGATGCGCAGCAGGGAAAGGGGCCATGTCAGCGGGCTGCGAGGGAATCTGACTGCTCAGAGCAGAGATGCGGGATCGCGATGTGACTCACCTCTCTCCCATAAAGTTGCGTCCGTCGAAGTCCTGCCGATCGACGAGAAGAGGATGAGCGAGGGAAGGTGTCGTCAGAGGCGGGTCAGTACAGGTCAGGCAAGGGAGAACGTGGCAACGAATTGATGCAAGGACGGCGCGACGGGACGAACCTTGATGGCGTCCTCAGCGTCGCGCGGGTGCTCGAACTCGGCGAAACCGAAGGTGCCCATGATGCGGACATCGAGGAGGCGCTGTACAGGAAGCAGTGGAGCGGCGGATGCATGGAGATGCAGCGGGGAGCGTTCGGCGTCAGCAATCGGTTTGGGGAGAGGCCAGCGCCTGGGCCTGCGTGGGCGTCGAGGGCGGCTTGAACGCAACGCGTGTCCAAATCCGGGCATACGCGCACAAGGATGCGATGCGATACTCACGCCGTAGCCCTTGAAGAGGTCCTCGATGTCGGACCTGCGCACGTCCTGAGGCAGGCGACCGAGGTAGAGGCGAGTGGTCATGATGTATCTGGATCTGGAAGAGGGGCGGGCGGAGACTGCGGATGGGGCTGAGAGGGTGGTGGTTGTGACGGTAGCGGCGGCGGTGGCGAGCGGGTGAGATGGTGCGGGGCATGCGAGCGGGGCCTGGCAATGCCGATTTTCGCCGCCTGACCCGACCCAGCGCGAGCGCGCGCGCGCGACCTCCTGCCAGGCCTCTCTGACCGCGGCCCCGTTTCGGCTCCGCATCCTGCCCCACGCTGCATGGCCAGGCCGAGCCGGCTAGGCCAGCGGCAGACGACAGAGCAGGGCTGTGCCCAATCGGCCTGTCAGGCCCGCTCCAAAAGGGCCACCCCGCTGCGCCTTGCCTGCCTGCTCATCGACCCCCGTACATCCGACGAAGCCAACAGGAGAAGCAAGCGATGGGGATGGGGGCAGGCTAGGCTGCGCGAATTGGCCAGCTCGGCTGGTCGGAAGTGCCTCAGGGAGCACCCCGCGAGCCCGCCAGCCAGCAAGCAAGGTGCCGCCCAAGGAGCGCCGGCTTGCAGCTGGCTCGGCAATTCCAGGGTGCTCGGATGGGCCAGATGAAGACGTACGTTGCGTGGCGCCATGGCAGCAGCCACCTTGGCCAGCCGCCTGCCTTTTTGCTGAGCTCGTTGGCGACCGCAGCCGCAGCCCTCTGCCTGGCCAGGCCGCGCGGCGAGACAGGTCCTGCGCGAGGGTTCGACTTGGCCGTCAGCCCTGCTGGTGGATGGTGCGTGCGATTGCCTACACCGCCTCCCGCCCAGACCTGAACGCTCGATGTGCCGACGTCTGTTTGTGGCAGCGGCGGTGCTGAACGGCTGCCGCGCTTGGTCGTTTGCGAGCGGAGTGCTCACGGGCTCGACAGATCCCGCCCCAGGAGCGAGCGGGTTCGTGTGAGTCTCGCCGTAGAGTGGAGTAGGGTCGATCTGCTCGTCGGTCTTCTTTCTTGCCCAGGCTGGACGAAGGACGAAGGCGGAGGCTGGGCAGCTAGGGGCGATGACGGCCTCGGGAAAAAGGTGCCTGAAAATCCCTGGCAAATCGCGAAGAACGGCCGGCGAGCCGATGGAGAGGCCCATGCCCGTCGGATCCACCAAGGCTGCTGCGGGCTCAGCAGCGGCGTGTGACGCCGAGTCCAGGTAGATTGCGTCGTCGCAACGTCCCCCGGACAAGGGAGGGGGCACCTACCCACATTCTGATCCTGCGTATGCGGCCCGCCTGGTAAGTGGCCGCTCCGGCGGCGCGGCGGGCGGCAGCTTGATGTATGATTGCCTCTGGCCCGTCTTCGAAGCAATCCGGTCATGCTAGACACTCTCGAGTAGGTACTGCGACGGCGCCTGGCCGAGTCGCTGTCGTGGTAATCTAGATGGCCGAGAGAGGTCGAGGTTGCCACCAAGAGAGGCGCGGTGCAACGTACGCCGAGCCTTTGGCCATTCGTCAAGGCGTGGCTAGGCCAGGAGAGTATGCGTACCGTGTTGGGACGTGCGACGGAGGCAGGCCGAGGGGCCCCCGGCGTCATTTCCAGGCTGCCCGGCCCCCCTTTTTCCAGGGTTGACCCGTGTGACACGAGCCACGGCCCACGAGCCTGGCGGAGGCAGGCCCACCAGCGAGCGCAGTTAGCCTGGGTTAGGCAGAGGGCAGCCAAGGCACGCACGGTGACTTTGGCGGTCCAGAGGCCTTTGCATGCTGGCTGGCAGGCTGGCAGGCAGGCGGGCGGCCAGGCAATTAAGCAGGCAAGCCTGCTTGCAAGCGGTGCGCTGGCCGCAGCTGACACCTCAACCTCGCAGTCCATCACGACCCACCTCTTCTCTTGCCCACCCGCAACCACCCCATCCGAGGCAACCACCACCATCAACACCAACACCAACACCGCCACCAACGCATCCAGCACCACCCTGCTAGCCGCACCCACTCCCACAAGCCGTGCCAGCCTGGCCCGCTCGCTCACGGCCGTCGTTCATCTTCGGGGACTTCACTCACCCTCGGACCGCAGCCGCTGGTGCCCTCTACGATCGCAGCGGAAAGGCGACACCCGCCCAACCGTCCCGCTCTTCATCTCCTCGACACTTCTTACGACGAGTGCAGACACAGGCATCCGCAAAACCCACCACTCTGCCATACGCACAGCTCACCCGCCGTGGTCCATCACAGCCTCGGCCGCATACCCCTCGTCGACAGGCAGCGTCCCTCGACCCACACGTCGGCATCGCCCGCAACCTCAGATCCAGCCTGAACCTCATAGCCGCAGCGCAGCTCTCTGCTGGCCAACCACTCGGGCTCATACCACCCACACGTCCACTCAACCATCCGCAAAAGCACCGCTCACATCGCCAGACCCTACCCCGCAGCAACTTCGACCGCCCAGCACCGCGAGACTGACCGCGGTAGAGCCTCCATCCGCCTCAGCATGGTATCTCCAGAGTCTACGGTTCCGACTGCGGTCCCAGTGGCGGCCAAAATTGAGCCCAGTGTCCGCAGGGCCAAGCCCCTCGAGCTCTCCACGTCTCCCCACTCGAACCTCTCGGAGCCAGAGGCGGACAACGAGCAGCTCGACGAGGTCTTCAGCAACCCCGACACCGCCGACCTCGGCTACCGCAGCGACGGCACCGGCGCCACCAGCCCGGGACCCAACAGCCCCGGTCCGAGCAGCCCGCTCTCACGGTCCGTGCTGACCTCGGCCCTCGCTTCAAAGTCGGCGCAGATGGCAGACGACGCACCCAGCACCTCGCCACCGGCGCTGCGTCTCCATGCGCTGCCTGCCTTCTCAAAGCCTGCCGGCGCCAACGGTAGCGACGCCGCTGCTGCGCACGAGAGCCAGCCTTCGCTGGTCGGCAGCCAAGCACAATCCCCCCAGACCCCCACGTCGGTGGTCGGCGGTGTCCGGCGGGACGCAGCCGCTACTTCGGCTCGGCGGCACTCTGCTAACGTCGCATCGCTGCCCGGTCCGGGTGCCTTGCCCGCGGCCAACGACCTGCCGGCCGATCCGGTGGATGCGAGCACGGTATCGCGGCTCTTTGCGCATCCACCCGCCGCATCACCGATTCTCTCGCCGGCCTCGGTCGCCTCGCCTCCTCGCACACCCGGCTTCAGCCCACGACCGGGTGCAGCAGGACAGCCGCTCGGCTCGCCGACCACGGAGCGGAGCAGCCTCTTCTTCCGGCCCTCGCGCAGCGCAACGCGACCGTCCTCTCCCGACGCGCGAAGCCGCGGCGATGCCAGCGCGCCCCTCTCTCCGCTCCCCTCCATGTCAGCTGCACGCGCAGCGGATCGGCCTACGAGCTCCTCCTCGACCGTCAGCGGCCTGGGCGCGCTGTCCAGCCCGTCTGCCGCGGCTGCAACCGGCTCCATGCCGCTGTCGGCCAGCGCTAGCGCGAGCTCACAGAGCATCTTCGAACGAGACATTGAGCACAGGGACGCCAGCCATATCATGAGCAAGCAGGAGGCCATCGACGTGGCCATCCCCAGCGTCCTGGACGACGCCGTCGAGGCCATCATCGAGGACGGGACCGAGCAGATCGAGGTGGTGGCCCCGCAGACGCCAGCGCCTCCCCTCCCGCTCAGCTCGGTCGCACTCTCAGTGCACAGCAACGCAAACTCGCCCGCGATGTCGTCCGCCATTCCGTCGCCGCCCGTTGCAGCCAGCGGCCAATTCGAGGCCCCTCCCGGCTCTATGGCCGCCCAGATCGCCGAGCGCCTCGCGCCGCGCCAGTCGGCAGCCTCTGCATCAGACGAGGTCAGGCAGTCGGGCTCGGCGATGCGCAGCCGCGGCGGCGTTCATAGCCCTGGCTCGGATATGGGAAGCGTGACATCGCTGCGCTCCCGTTCGCCGCAGGCATCGGCGAGCAGGGGCGTGCGAGAGGTCCTCGACACGAGTCCTGCGAGGTCTTCCCGCGCCTCGGCTTCACCGACGCCCGGCCCCCACGCCTCCCTTGCGGCCGCAGTTTCGCAGGCGAGCCGAGCGGCATCGGCGACCGCCTCAGCGCCGATCGGAGGCCCGTCTCTCTCGCAGCAGCAGCAGCAGCAGCAGCTACCGGCAGCATCGTCGGCATTTGTCACCCCCACGGCCACGGCGTTCCCTTCGCTCCCGCTGCCGAACCCATACCGCTCCAGCTCGCCCAACCTGGCGGCGCTCAGCGTGCCAATGATGACGGCGTCGATGTCCGACGTCGGACGGCCTGCCGCGTCGAGCCTGAGCATCGATGGCGCGATCATCAGCGGTGCCGAGGCAGCCTCGCTCGACCACAGCCTCGACAGCCTGGCCGACGTCATCGCTGCCAGCGATGCCGAAGAGGCAGCGAGCCCGTACGTGCCGCGGTCGCCGGCCTTTTACAACTATGCCTCGGGCGCGAGCAGCCCGACGATGGAGAAGCACAAGATCCGGAAGGGCAAGGGCAGCGGCGACGGTCGGATCAACCCTCCGGGCGGACTGGGCACCATGCCCGGCGGGCTTGGCGTGTTCGACGGCGGCGAGAACGGCTCGCTGATGGCGCTGTCCTCTGGCGCTCCGTCGCCGTCGCAGGAGGCCAAGCGGAGGCTCTCGTTCTTCTCGTACGCCGACATCATTAACCGCAACGCGGGCGAGGTGATGGACTTTGAAGGCGTCGTACGCCAGGCCGCCGAGCGAGACGACCTGCAGCACGGTTACCCCGGTGGCCACTCGAAGCAGGCGTCAAGCGCCAGCCAGATCGCCGGCGCCGGCGGCACTCAAATGTCGCGCTCCGCTAGCACCAGCGCTGCCGATCAGCGCCGGACGGCGGGAGGCGCGAGGCTGAGCAGCATCTCTGGCATCAACACGCCGCTGCGTGGTCGCAGAGACGTGCTCGAGAACCAGGCCCTGAGCAACCGGCTCGAGAGCCTCACCCTGGCGAACAACCCGGCACAGCCGCAGCAGTAGCTCGGGCCTGGTCCGATCAGGCTCCTTGTCGACAATCGGGCGTTGTCATCGACCACATCAGAGACCTGCTGTCTGTCTCATCTCCTACCTGCAGTGGACGACGCTGCGCCGCTGCCTCCCTTCCGGAACGCTGCTCGACATTCCCTCTTCTCACGCCAGCCCGCGTTGCAGAGCACTTCGCAAGGCGATCAACCTTAACCCATACCCCACGCCTTCGGCCCATTCACCCCAGCCCTCTCCCCTCGTCTCTTCTCACCTCGTCTCGTCTCGTCTCGTATCGTATCGTCCCGTCCCGTTCCGTCTCGCTCTGCACTCCCACCCCACTCCGACGATCGAGACAAACGCCGCCACCATCATCACACGTTCACGGGCCCTCGTACGCTTTTCCACGCTTCTATGCGCTTTGCACAACCATTCGACTCGACTCGACTCGACTCTCGATCAGACTCTTTTCATGTATCGTCACGGTCTAGATACTTTCTTCCCCCTTCCCCCTCTCACGCCATGCCATGCCATGTCATGTCACGTCACGTCACGGCCATCGTCTCGTTCGCTCCACCTCTGCGCTCTCGTCTTTCGGTCCTCTCCACCTTCTCCGTCTCGCCACACGGACGACGATGCGCAGCCATGCGCACGAGCAGTCGCCTCGGCCGCCTGCGAACAAAGAGGGGCCGGAATTTAGGCTCTGGCCCTCGATCAGCGCTCCACTTGCAATGGACCATTTCTCGTCTCTGCTCGTCGTCACCGTCCAGAAAATGAACCCTGTCCCTGCCTCCGCCCCTACTCTCGAGGCGACAAGGCCGAGCTGAAACAACGGTCGATACACGCGTACGCCACGCCACGCTGCGCGGGGCCTACGGCCGACTCTGGCCGTTGCAGCGGGCCTGCTGGCGTGGCCTAGACATGTGCCTCGAGGCCACTGCCACCAGCCGGCAAACGATTGGCAACCCCACCCTGCCTTGGATCAACGATGCTGAGCCGCGCCACCGAGGTAGGGTTGCGGAAAGCTGCTTCGTGCCTACATCCAGCCTTCGATTTGTTGAGGAGTCCGTCGGCAAACGGAGCAATCTGAGCAGCTGGAGCACCACTCTCTCCCCGCATCGAGCTGCCTACCACTGAACGTCCCGGGTCGTGGAACGCCGTCTACGTGGCTCGACCACGGCCATGAGGCCGCGGAAGAATCGGCATACGGTCCGCACGTGCTGCAAGAGCAAGAGCAGCTCGATGCTGGCCTGCCCGAAGATGGGCCCGTAGGGCCGGGAGCGATGGCATCAACAGACGCCTGTGGGTCAGGCCCTGCGACCGCGACTGTTGCCCTCGAAAAGCAGCTACTGGTTGCAGCTGCGAGCCGCTCGGTGTCTGATTGCGCTTCGTCGCCGCGCTGCAGAGGCATGGCGGCGCGCTGGTCGTTCGCGAGTGCACCGTCCCCTTGCTTGCACGCCCGAATCAGCGCATCGAGCTCCGAATCGTCGGCAAGTCGGAAGCCTCGCTCTCTCTGCTTTGCGCTTCTGCTCTTGTTATGGGCGCCGCGGGCTTTCCCTTGACCTGTTCGACTCCTTTTCGGCTTGAGTGGCTCGATCTGCCGCTGCAGAATAATGTCCGGGGCGAAGGATGTGGTGGGCCGTGTTCGAGAAACGCCTTCGCTACTGCCAGCCTCGGCCACGGAGACGTCTCGAGGCCGCTCTGCCAGCCAGCCGTTGGCGAGCGCGCTCGGATTGAGGGCGTAGTAGTCGCTCAGGAGGGCTTCTCCCCTTGTACTCATCGGAGGGACTGAGGCGTCGGAAGGTGGGAGCCGTCCCCTGTCTCGCTGAGACGTGGGCGAGGTTGGTGCTGATGACTCTTGGCGACCTGCGACCGGGTCCAGGGGCCGTTGTGGCTGTCTGCTGAGCGTCCCGGCCCGCGAGCGCCGCCGGTGAAGCTGGTTGGAAAATGCCGAGTGGCCGCTGGTGCCCTCGACGTCGCCGCCGACGTCGCTGCCGGCCCCAGCGGTGATGAAGGGTGCGCTGAGCATGCTCTCGCACGCCTTCGCCCTAAGAGGGTTTTGAGAGCGAGACTCGACCTCTTGGACCGTAGCCAGGGCCAGTCCTCGAGCGGGAGATTGGTGAGTCCTGGGAGACGACAGCGCCGGCGGCGATTCTGTGCCTCTGGAGATCGCATGGTACTGCGTCGATTCGTGCGAGGTCAGGAAGCGACTCTCGGAGAAGACATGCTCGTGGCGATCCGGCCGCTTCGCATTGCGGGAGGCCACGCCCTTGCCAAAGACGCCGAGCTGGACCACGTTGTCACCGTCGTCAGCCGCAAGAAGACGCCGTCCCGACGTTGTCGCGCGGCGGCTTGGGCTCCTCGACTTACTGTCAGCCTGCCAGGTTTGATTCTCTTGTCGCGATCGAGCATCCGGGCACCTATCCTGGCATTTTCGTCCTCTCTCGTCCTCGGCCGGCTTGTCCTCGGGAGCTTGCCCGGTTCGAGATGGTGAGATAGCTTGCGTTTGCGCCTCGAAGAGCTGTTGCGCTCAACGTCTTGGTTGTCTTCTTGCAGCGGCTCGATGGCCGGCAGCTTCGTTGCCGCTGCGCGCTTCCTACGCCTCTGCTTGCGGACCTCCAAGACTGCCTCGAGCGAGACCGACCAGATCTGTCAGCTGACCGCGGCCATTGGGATCATGGGACAGGCTGTCGCGCTTACCTTGCCGTCTCTCGACGTCGGGCTCTCGCGCAACTGGATTCGCGCGTGAAGGTGGCCTCCCCTCCTCCCTTTCCTTCGCCAACGCCGACGATGGACCGGCATCGACGGACGTCCCCTGCCGCTGTCTTCCGCCTCTTCGCCTAATACCGACCGCCTCTTTATGAACGAGTTCGCCCTTCGTCTTTGTGCCCCGCTCTGCGGCGCGCGACGTTCTGTCAATTGGTGCTCGTCGTCTTTGCGGTTCTGGGGACGATGAGGAGACAACGCGCTGAGATGCCACGACGTACTGCCGCGTCCGTTCTGTCCTGTCGAGGTGGCCTTGGGCGGCAAGGCTGACCGGATCGAGTGGTGTCGTCTGTTGGTTACGATGCCTCGCCATGGTTGTGGTGGTGGAGACTGCTCGAGGCTCGCAGCATGGTTGCTGAGCGCGGACTTGAGAGGGGGTCACGCTGCCAGGTCGACGTCTTGGTCCAGCGGCTAGCCGCTCCAGCGTCCTCTCCCTCGCATTCTCTGTTCGACGACAGCCGTGGACAGTGCGAGGAGGGGATGAGATGCTCCTCGAGGCGCTCATGACCGGTCAAGCTCGTGCAGAGTGGCATGGCCTGCTAGGTCCGGCTACACGATGATGCTGGCCTTTCCGTGAGACTTAGCCAGGCCCGCCGTGACGAAGATGGCGAGCACACGTAAGCCGAAAGAGGTTGCGCCGCCGCGCATATCCATTCCTTTGCGTCCGGCAAGTGGGGAAGGTCTGTGGTACGGTGGCGCTCATGCCCATTTGCCTGCTCGGCGAGGGACAGGTTCGAGGTCGCCACCCCCAGAGGGGCTCCGCAGATTGAGGACCCAATCGATGGATTTGGTGGGCAGGCCGCTGGATGGGCAGCCCTGGACGAGGAGCGGTACGGTGCGGCGGCGCTGCGCCTCGGACGAACGTCGGTCGGTTTTTGGCCGGTGGCAGGCCAGCAGGCCAAGCCAGGCGTGGGTCGACGTAGCTACAGTAGCGAGCAAGGATCTGCCCCGCCTGCCTGCGCCTTTCCGTTGGGTCGCGTGGCCAGGGTTTCCCGTCGACGGTCCCGTCCAAGGCAAGTCAGAGAGAGAGGTTCGCGGCCCCTTCAGTCCCACCCGCGCGGCGCCAAAAGGCTAGCGCGGCGGGGAACGGGGACCTGAACTGGCACCACGACTGGGCCCAACGTCAGCCGCGACGTCGGTCTGTGTGTGTTGCGAGGTGCGTATGGCCAGCGATGTCAAAAGCGATTGCCACCCGACGACGGCGAGGGCGAGGGTGAGGGCGACCATGGGCCCATCAGCCGGCAGGATCGCGCCGACGAGCAAGGGCAGCATCAAGATGAGCAGGCAGAGGGCTGGGCAGGCAGGCCAGGCCAGGCCAAGCCAGGACCGGAGAGCGCGGCCTGCCTCTGCACGGTGACACTTCTCCACCTGGCTCTGGCCTGCCACGCCCTGCGCCTCTTCGATCCGCCGACCTGCCTGCAGGCCTGGCCCTGCCCCCAAAAAGGCGTCCAGGGCCAGGCTGGGCGGCGAGGCTGGCTGGCTGGCTGGCCGGCTAGAAGCTCGCTCTGCTCGGCTGGCCATCGCTGCGCACAGGCAGGCCGGCAGCTGCTCGTGGTCAGACCCTGGCCGTGGTCGATCTGCTCTTTCTTCCTCGCCATCGTCCCTTGGCCTCTTTCCTTCGCTACCGCATCCTCGTCGTCCTTCTGCCGCCTGCCATCGCCTTGCTCGATCGCCGTCTTCTCATCCTTGCCGGCGTCTCTGTCACCCTCTCATCGGCCTCGACCCGAAGCTTGGCCGCCTGTCTGTCTGCGGCCGCTCATCCTTTGCCTTTCGGAACTCGACCCGACGTCGACTCAAACTTTGGCATCTCGACCGAACGCTGCTCTCTCTCCTGTCTGCCTGGTACCACTCGCAAGCCTTGTTACCATGCCGGCTGTTCCGCTCGTGACGCGCGAGGATGCGCTCCGCAAGATTGAGGAGCAGTTCCAGCTCGACCTGCCCATGCTCAAGTCGCTGTCGCAGCGCTTCCAGGAGCTCTACGACTACGGCCTGGCCAACCACGGCGCAGACATGCAGATGATCCCCTCGTTTGTCACAGGCGTCCCCAACGGCTCCGAAAAGGGAACCTACCTCGCCCTCGACCTCGGCGGCACCAACCTCCGCGTCTGCGAGGTCACCCTCGACGGCAAGGGCGGCTTCACCATGAAGCAGGAAAAGTACAAGGTGTGAGCATCCTCGACGACGACGAGGATGGCTGTCATCTGCGCTGTCCTCTCCGCACGGCTGCAGTGCTGGGTTGGAGTCGAGCCGAGTTGGACTGGACCGTTGATGGAGCGAGCTTTCCCCCCTGATCGCGTATTTCTTCCTCCCGCCTCCCCTCTTGATCCATGCCTGCCGCGCGCTGCAGCTCCGACGCACTCAAGCAGGGTCCGGCTCGGAACCTGTTCGACTACATGGCACAGAGCGTCGACACGTTCCTCACCGACTTTGGAACCGCGTCGACCGACGACGAGCTCCTCCTCGGCTTCACGTTCAGCTTCCCCGTCGAGCAGACGGCTCTCGCCCGCGGCCACCTCATCCACTGGACCAAGGGCTTCAACTGCCCCGACGCGCCGGGCAAGGACGTCGTCGGCCTGCTGCAGGAGAGCCTCGACCGCAAGCACATCAAGGTGCGCTGCAACGCCCTCGTCAACGACACGGTCGGCGCGCTCCTCGCGCACGCCTACCACTCCAACGGCGCCCTCATCAGCGCCATCTTTGGCACGGGCACCAACGGCGCCTACATCGAGGACATCTCCAAGATCAAGAAGCTCAAGATGGCAGAGGGCTCCATCAAGCATATGGTCGTCAACACCGAGTGGGGCGGCTTCGACGACGACGTGAGTGGTCCCGGGTCCGGGTCGGCGACAGCGGCAATGGGCGGGTGCACGGGGCTGCCTGCTGACCACGCCCGTCACACACTCTCCTCTCTCTCTCTTTCCCGCGATGGCACGCACCGCAGCGCAAGGCTCTCCCCGTCACCGTCTTTGACAACAGGCTGGATCGAGAGTCGATTCGGCCCCGCAACCACGTCTTCGAAAAGATGATCAGCGGCATGTGTGAGTCTCGAGATAGAGAGGGGCCAGGGACAGCGGCCGCTCTCTGCTTGCTGCGACAGCGTGCGATGCTGACGATTGAAGCCGCCTCTGCCCTCATATGCCACCCTTGCCTCTGCAGACCTGGGGGAGTTGACACGCCACGTGCTCGTCCACCTGATCGACTCGCTCGTGCTCTTCGACGGGTGAGTACGACGCCCTCCAACCTGGCCCCGGGCGACATGCAGCACGCTGACTGCTTACCCTTCGGCCCCGCCTGCCCTTGGCCCACTGCAGCTTCTCTTCCGTTGTGATGAACACGCAAAACGGCTTCGACACGGCCTACATGTCGGCGATCGAGGCTGACAAGGAGGAAGCGTCGTCGCCGCAATCGGCAACGCGCAAGGTCCTTGTCGAGACGATGCAGATCCCCGCCGACAAGGTGTCTGCAGAGGATGTGGACACGGTGCGCCGCGTCTGCAAGATCGTAGGCACCCGGGCGGCCCGACTGAGCTCGGTGGCGATCGCTGCCACGCTGGTGCAGACGAACAACGTGCAGAGCCGCGGCGACGGGCCCGACGAGGGCGTCAAGGTGGGGATGGACGGGAGCGTGATTGAGTTTTACCCTCGTGAGTACAACGGCCGTTGTTGCCACTGCCAGGTGGCATCACCGCTCTGGGCGGCACCCTGTCTGCTTGCCTTGGCTGACAGTCACCTCCCTTCCTGGTCGATTGCCGTGTTGCTGATCGGCCGCTGCGACCCGAGCAGACTTCGAGGAGCGCATGCGCGAGGGTCTGCGGGATCTCTTGGGCGAAGACGCTGAGAGGCGGGTCAAGATTGGTCTGGCCAAGGACGGCAGTGGTGTCGGCGGTGAGTCAAGCTTACATCATGCCTCTTCGGGATGGTGCTGCGGAGCCTCTTATCTGACGTCTGCCCTCGAGGTGCACTCTCCTTTGTGATCTGCGCTTATTGCGGTCAATAGCTGCCCTCGGCGCCTTGCAAGCGGCCAAGCAAGAAGCCAGCGGCCACCGAGTCGAGTGAGTGTGCTCCATGCTGCCGTCATAGCAGCCGAGCGCTGATGCACCCCGAACCTCGAACCGCGTGACTTACTGACCCATCTTCCTCTTTGCCTCGTCTCGCTGCCCTTGCCTCCGCAGAGCATGAAACGGCAGAGCGTGGTATTGATGATGCTGCTGAGTATGACGCTGCGCGAGCCTCGGTCGAGGCTATTTGCAATGCACGCTGTTCAAAGTCGAGCCAAGTCACGACGCGGGGGCGTGTAAAGTTGCGTCCAAAAGAGCGGAGCCCCCGGTCTAGTCGTTGGCCGAAGGAGCGTGGGCCTTTCAACGGCAGACGGGAGACGGTCAGCTTCCGCGTCGAGAGACAGGGGGGGCAAAGAGCAAGGCGGCGCAGCGCAGCGACCCAGACCCCGACGCTTTGCTGCGTTCACGAGGGGCGAGCATGGTCAGATCGATGGCGGAGGCGGTCCGCTGCCTGGATCGTTGGCGCAAGGCTCGGCCTCTCGGGCCAGGGTTTGCCTGCCTGCCTGCCTGCGTTGCATGATGGTCTGGGCGCCCTCCTTCGCACTCGACCGTGCTCCGAGATCCGAGATCCATGCCCAGTCCTCGACTTGCCACCGAACCATGACGTCCGAGAGCCGAGAAACGTGGCCGCCATGCCGTAGGAACCGCTCTTCGTTGTTGGCTTCCACGCCCATCCCAACCTCGGCCTCGGCCTTGGCCCGCGCCTCTTGGGGTTTGCTCTCTTTCTCCAATCCGCCGTTCCGCTCCCGCTTTTCCCTCCCCACACGCACATCCTCTCCTGCGCCTGCCTTCCGCAGGAGGGATTGAGGTCAGGGTCCGCGCCTTGTTTCCGTCGTGGCAATCCATACTCTAGCTTGCCTCCAGCGCCCCCGCCGTCCAGCCCTGTCCGCTACCGCAACGAAGTGGTAACCGGGCCATTCGTCGTACGTTGAAAGCTCACCCGCCGGTTCGAGCGAAGGAACAGGTACTTAAACCGTACCAGGGAGGATTTCCGGCCGGCATCGACGACTGCCATTCCCTCTCCGGCCTGCGGTCCCTTCACACCTCGACCTTGCTCGTCTCTTTGGCACGCCATAACAGAACAAGCCAGCATCCAAAGAGGGCAAGGAGGGAGTTCTTGGCAATATGTCGAGATCAAAGTCATCCACCATGGCCTCGCAAGTCGGTCCCACCCCCCCTTCGGCCTCCTTGCCCTCCAAGTCTCGGGCAAAGGGCGGCAAGGACGGGACGGGCAGTCGGTACCACGCCATCTTTCTGGCGGGCACGACGGCGCTCAGCATCCTCCTCATCCTCATCGGCGGCGGTCACTTCCTCGGCAACCTCTCGGACGACGCCAAGAACCTGCACCACGACTTTGTACCCGACCTGCCTTACCTTACGGGATGGAGAGACGAGGTGAGCCCCCGCCCCCCCCCCCCCCCTCCCTTCCCCCTCGTTGCAGCGCGTAGAGAGGCCGTGCACGGGACGATGCTGACCTGCTCGCTCTTTGCCACGACGCGTCGAGAAAGAATGGAGAGTTTTTTGGCCTTCATCGTCTCAAGAAGGCTCCGATTCATTACGGTGGCCTGCACATCGTCCCGGCGTGAGAAGCTCCGGCAGGCGTGGACGCGGGCCCCGGGCGTCGCCCGCGCCCGTAAAGGTTTCTGTTCGACTGACTCGGCATCGATGGCCCTCCCTCCCCTCACCTCCCCTTTCCTCGCCCCGCCTACCCCGCATCGCTCGGGCGTTGCAGGATCATCTGGTGCCTCTTCATCCCCTTCCAGCACGTTGCCACGATCCGACGACGGTACCCCGCCGCGCACCGGTGGATGGGACGATCGATCCTCCTCTCCAACCTGGTTCTCTGCCTATCCGGTCTGGCAATGGCCCCGCGCAACCTGTCGTATACGCACCGCAACGTGTGGCACCTTCATGGCGGCGTCATCCCGACCTTTGAGGCGGGTACGACGCTCATCGCCCTCGTCCAGCTCCTCACGATAGCCCCGACCTACCGCACCGCCGCGGCGAGGAGGTGGAAGGCGCATCAGCTCTGGGCGCGCCGTCATACCCTCGCCGGTGCCGTCATCTCGTTGCAGCGCGTCTGCATGGGCATCATTATGGCGTATGGCCTCCTCGTCTCCCGTCTCGACAAACGGACGCAGACGGAGTGGTTTGGCGTTCCACGCACCCGCGCCGAGATGTACGAGGGCGAGCGAGCGGCTATGGCCGTCTCGGCTTGGATGTCCTTCGTCTTTGGCCTCGCCTGGTGGTACTACGACGAGAAGGTCCGCAGCCACCCCGTCGCCTCGTCGGCCCCGCCGTCGTTCAAGACCGACAAGGCAAAGGTGGACAAGCAGTGAGGATGAACGCGAGGTGTTCGGTCGCTCTGGCCTGGCCCTGCTGTATCTCAGCCCCTGCCGCCACGCAATCGAACATCGCGCCGCTTGAACAGTGTGTCTCGTTGTCTGTGTCTCTCCCTTGCCCTCCGCTCGCTGCCATCCCCTTCCCTCGTCTCGCCCCTGACCCAGCTCCACCCTGGGCAGCCGGTTAGTATCGAATCGGCCAGACTCAGACGTGCGCGCTGGTGCCATGCAATGCATTCGAGGCCGTCTCATCTCTCGCAACGACCACCTCGGTCGCCGCCCCCACCTCGGGCGCGCCTCAGGTCCAGCGCGCGAGGGACTGGTCGCCGCTCCCGTCGAGGCACGTCGACAGCCGCGCCTCAAACTCGGGCTCGAGACCGAGATTGAACCGACCAAACGTGTCGAGGATGCCCTTGATGGCCGTGCGAAGCAGCGCCTCGTTCATGGCGGCGCCACACCGCCCCCACGCCTCGCCGAACTCGTCCTGCGCCTGCCGCGCCGCGCCCGCGTGCGAAACACCTCCCTCCTTGGTCGTCTGCTCCTCCGTCGTCGTCGTCGTCGTCGACGTCGGTACAGAGGTGGTGGAGGCTCCCTGGCCCCTCGGCGTCGGCGTCGGCGTCGGCGTCGGCGTGGCCCGTGCAGCAGCCTCCTCCCTCGCCAGCTTGTCGTCGAGCGTGGCGGCCTGTGCCTCGAGCTCGATGCGCAGCGCCCGCATCTCGATGCACAGGCCTACGAGCGCACGCAGCACCGTGCGGATGTCCTTTTGCACGCTGCCGAAGGGATCCTCAGTCAGGCTGTGCTGCAGCAGATCCTTGACCGCCGTGATGGACCACGCCAGGCGTGCGCTGTCCCGGCCCGCAATGCTCAGCACCTTGGCTCGCATCGAGGGCTCAAAGAGGTAGAAGCGCCACCGCGGCGGACACATGGCGTGGCGTGCATCTTGCGGCAGCATCGACCACGCCGTTCTCCCGAACGAAGATGCGATCGAGAAGACAGATTGCGCAGGCGTGGCTGATGCGGGCGCCGGAGCGCCTGGCGCCGGCGCTGCGGCTGCGGGCTGCGCGGGTTGGGCCACTGCAGATGCGGTCTTGCCCTGCTCGCCGGGCAGCTGTCCGCGGGCAAGGGCATCCCAGACACTCTGGCTCGAAGCGGGTTGCGGTTTGGCGACGCTCTGTGCCGAAGCTGTCGGCGGCGTCGACGTCGAGGGCTGCGTCGGCTTCGGCGGGATGCCGCGGGTGGCGATGTGCTGGCGCTCGGCCTCTAGCAGCTTGAGGCATGCCGAGCTCAGAGCTTTCCATGCGGATCTCTCGGCGTGGACGTCCTTGAAGATGGCCACCCTCCTGCCGCTATCCGACGCCGCGATGTGGGCGAGCTCGGCAAAGGCGTGGTGCGAGAAAAAGACGACGGGGTCGGAGAGACCGTCGGCGAGGGTGCGGTTGGCGTCCTTGGTATACTTGCTGAGGGGCGAGAGGGGCTGCGAGAGATAGACGTCGAGCAGGGTGTAGGCCGTCTCGACGGCGACGAACGACGCCGCGCCGAGTGCCGTCGCTCGGACCACCACATCGGCCTGCGGGAAGGCGGTGCGGAAGGACGGCACGAGTGCGCGGCGGGTGATTCCGCGGTGGCCGACGAGGGCAAGGACGAGCCTCCAGAACGACTTTCTGGCCAAGAGATAGCCGATGAAGACCGCGGCTTCGCCGCAAGCCCCGGCTGCCGCGGCCGTAGGGAGCCGGTGTGCGCAGGCACGTGCGAAACGAACACGGAGGGAAGGGCCGAGGCCGTCGGAGCGGGTGCCGACCTCGAAGGGCAGGATGGGCCTGGCTGTGCTGGCTGGCCAGGCGCGATAGAGTGCGCCGTAGAATGCGCCGAGGAGTGCGCTGGATGCGACGAGGAAGAGGAAGCGCTCGTTTACGTAGTAGGCGTGGTGCGAGGGGATCCAGGTGTAAGGAGCCCAGTCGGAGTCGGCGCCGTAGAGGGCCGTGATGAGAAGGCACTGCACGACGGCGATGGCGGCGAATGCGAGCGCGTGGAGGCCAGCCTGGGACCAGGTCGAGGGGTCACGGAGCAGGTCGGAGAGGTGCGAAGCCCGAGATTGGGCCAGGACGGCTGGAAGCGCTGCAGTTTTGGAGAGGATGCGCTTTCGTGCGACGAGGAGGGGGATGATGGCGAGTGCGAATGCAGCTACTGAGCTGGCGAGGGAGAGCGGGTGCCAGACAGCCCTTGGGCTGAGGAGGCTGAGGGCGAGGTATGCATGGCAGGCGGCGAATGCGAGTGCAAATACGCGCTTCTGCCTCGGTCCGAGCGCCAGCTGTGAGGGGGAGGAAGATGGCGGAAGGGCGAGGGGCGAGGGGCGAGGGAAAGACAAGGGAGGGTCAGTGACGTGTTGGCGGTGCGAGAAGACGAGAGGAGATCGGGGCAGGGAGCGACGACGACGACGACGAGGGCCGAGGCACCTGGACGTACCTTTACCAGTGCGTTGTAGCTGGTGGGTAGCTGCGCCTGTGGTACGGACTCGAGCGCCGAGGCCATGTCGAGGGGCGAGGAGCGGGGCAATGGAGTGGTGGTTTGGCGATGGATGGTCGTGGCCCGACCAACACCTGCACCGTGGTTGGGTGTTGATTGTCAGTTGGCCTTTATTTGGTCTTTTCCTCGTCTCGTGGCTGCTGGGCTTGGCTCGCGCCCATGTGGAGAAGGGGCCCGGCCCTCGGTGGTGATCGACTCGCGGATCCGAGGTGCCTCGAGGGCGGGGCGGGGGCTGGCCAAGGCCAACCAAGGCCCAGCAAGGCCCAGCAAGGCCACGGGGCTGGCCGGCCAGACTCGCGTGCGTTTTTTCTTCTCAAAGGGCAACGCTCTCGAAGCTGAGCTGATGGCCATCCAGCCTGTCCCCCCCAACCACTCATCACCATCATTGCACCACACCAACCCCCTCCTCGACCCGCTCCTTCCGCCCTAGTGCCACCGCGGCCATTGGCACACGCACACGCACCGACACCACCTCCGCATCCCAATAGCGTCCCTAGCTCGCCCGCCTCGTACCACACCATCCACCCAACCACCCTTCTTGCCCAACCCCTCCACTGGCGACATGTCGGTCCCCTCGCTCTTCCGCTCCTCGCTCCGCAGGTCATTGGCCAGGCCACTCGTCTCGGCATCCGCATCCACCTCGGCCCTGCCCTCGGCATCACCTGCCGCCGCACCCGCCGCCACCCGTCAGCTCCACTCGGTCCCGCCCATGCCCGAGCTCCTCGACAATGGCTGCGCACCTTTCCTCTCCCAGCAGACCGTACACCAGATCGCAAACGAGTGGCAGGCCGGCCTCCTCGACCTCCTCAACCAGGAAGTCAGGGACACCGAGTACGCAACCTCGAGCATCGTAGAGACCGTCATCGGCCTCTCGCAGAGCCGCGAAAAGATCCTCGCCTTCAACTACGCAAGCCAGGCACTCAACAACAGCTTCTTCCTCTCGAGCATCGTGAGTCGAGGATTGGGCGGGCGTGGCGCCACGTACTACGCGGAGCCATTGCTGACGCGCCCGTCATCCCGGTCCTGACCATTTGCTGAACCTCTTTGCGATCCCTTGCCCTCCCCCTCCGTCCCCTACCCTCGCCCACGCTTCTCAGGCGCCACAAGGTAGCCTGCGCAACACTACACCGCTAGTCAGGACGTCGGACGCCATCTCCAAGTCGTTCAACAGCTACCCGGAAATGTGCCTGGCGTTTTCGTCGGCCGCGTTTGGCATGTCCGGCAGCGGCTGGGTGTGGCTGGTGACGGATCAGAGCGGCAACCTGGGCGTGGTGCCCACCTATGGCGCGGGCACCGTCGTGGTGCAGAACCGGATGCAGCAGGGCAAGCACTTTGCGCTGCCCAGCATCAACGACGGCCAGGGCGGGCCCGAGGGGACGGACCCCAACGCGATGCCGGCGGCCGCGCGCCCCGGGCGGCCGTCAAGCGCGCGGCTGTTTGCCACCGAGGTGGGCAAGGAGCTCTACCCGCTGCTCAACATCAGCGTGCACGAGCACGCCTGGCTCAACGACTACGGCATCATGGGCAAGGAAGAGTACCTGACAAGATTCTGGAACTGCGTCAACTGGGACCGCGTCGAGGAGCGCTTCAAGGAGTACTGCCCCTCGGCGCAGCCGCTGCACTAGGCGGTCGGTCCGCCGCTGCCGTACATCGAAGGGAGACGAGGTCCATGCGAGGCCGGCGCTCGTCGCGCCGGGCTCTGACGAATGTACACTATCACCACTAGATCCGAACAGAAAAGGTGACGACGCCCACGATTCGAAGACGAAGGAAGGCACGGCTGGGTGCGCCTTGTCGGAGCAGTCGACCCGCAGTCGGGCGGTCGATGAGCAGGGCATGTGCGCTGCAACGGCTCGCTATCGGGACGCGGCCGGTTGCGAGGGAACGGGATGGTCGTGTGAGCGTCGGGCGCGCTGCCCTGGCTGGCCAGGCGCGGTCAGGAATTCGGTCCTGCTTGCATTGGTCAGTCGTCCTGGTTCATCCTCTCTGTCGCGGTGGCGGCGTGGCCCTCTTCCTCTCCCTCTTGCGAAGGCGTGGGGTGCTGGCGATTATCGTGTGAATACGCGGGTCAGTTTAGCGGGGCCCGTCTGGCTGGCTGGCTGGCTGGCTGGCTGGCGGGCGGGCGAGGACTGCTCCACATGGTGGTGCCTGTGCCAAGGGCGGAGGGGTTTCGCTGGGAGGCCTGGTGCATGGACCCTTCCTTGCTGCTCGCTGTCTGGCTGTCTGGCTGGCGGGCCGCCTGTTGCTCGCCGACCTTGGCGGCTGCCTGCTGCTTCCTTTCCACCACCGGCTGCCCTCACCTCCTTCTCGACCTCACCTCTGGCACCTGCTCGCCTTCGCACAAGCGCTGCTCCTCCACCATCCCCTCCGGCGTACGTAGAGCGTCGCGTATCGCATCGCATCGCCTCGCCGCGCTACTGCCAGCCCCCATCGCCGCACGCCGCATCGTCGTCCGCCACACCACTTTTCGCAGCACCATGCCCGCCGGCTACAGCGCAGACGACAAGCACCGCGGCGGACGCGATGCCGAAGACGACGACATCGAGGCCGAGGCTCTGATGTGAGTAGTAACAGTGCGCGCCCACCGTCCCCGAGACTGGCACTCTACGTTGCCCCGCCCTGACACTCGCTCTCCCTCTACCCATCCTCGCCTCACCAGCCTGCACCGCTTCTCGACCGACGACCAGGGCCGTGCCACCGTCTCGTCGATACCTTCTGCCCAAGGCACCGCTCGACAGGCACGAGTCACAGATGCCTACGACGACCTCGACGACGCAGACGATGCCGACGACGGCCGTCTCGGCAAGCTGCCTCCCCGCGGCACCCTCGAAGGCTCAAACCCGTCCACCCAACTCGACAAGACCGGCAGACCCGCCTGGTTCCGCGGCCTGCTCGAAGGCGAGGTGCCCGCACTCGGCCTCGGCGGACGCCACGCGGGCATGTCGGCCACGGCGGCTCAGCGCAACAAGCGTCGCCGCGCCCGCATGTTCCGCCTCGCCGCCCTCGCGCTCGGGATACTGCTCGTCGTTGCCGTCTTTTCGGTGGCGCTCGGTCCCAGGATCGGGCTCGACATGGACCGCGTCTACGAGTACGCCGGCGACAAGTGGTACGGCGACAGCGGCGTCATGCCCTACGAGTTCAACCGCGAAATTGGCTGGCCCGGCAGCTACACGACGGGCAAGCCGCCCCACCTGGCCGACGAGCAGACTGACCCGCGCCTCCGCGCCAGCCCCACGCAGGGCGCCTCGCCCATCCAGACGGCCGTCCCGGGCTACGGCGGCGACGCCAAAGTTCAGCCCTTTGAGCACATGGGACCCTTCACCCCGTATCGCTCCTCGTCTGGCTTCGGCGTCGACGACGCAAAGTACGGCGGCACGCCCAGCTCGCTCGAAGCCTCGACAACGTCTCCCTCCTCGTTGGCCGACCAGCCGTTCTGCAAACTGCAGCAGGTTCACATTCTCCACCGCCACGGCGCCAGGTACCCCACCGAGCGCGCCCCGCCGACGCTCTTCGACGCCTTCCTGCGCGAGCACCCCGAGGCGCGGTTCAGCGGCCCGCTATCGTTCATCAACTCGTACAAGTACCGCCTGGGAACCGAGCTGCTGACGCCCGTCGGAAGGCAGCAGCTCTACGACAGCGGCGCCAAGGCGGCGATCCTCTACGGCGCGCTGGCCGTCGAGGACCTCAAGGAGAAGAGCAGGACGGGCCTGCCCAAGAAGCTGTTTGCCCGCGCGGGGAGCCAGCAGCGCATCGTCGATAGCGGCTTTGCCTGGTTGGCCGGCTTCTGGGGCCAGCACTGGGCCAACTCGACCAACTTTGAGATCCAGATCGAGTCCGAGGGCTTCAACACGACCACTGCGCCCGAGTTTGCCTGCCGCGGCGCCAGCAAGCCGGGCATGTTTCCCGGCGGCGATGCCGAGGCGCACTTTGTGGACCGGTACCTGGCCGAGGCCACCCGGCGGTTGCAGCGCGACGTCCAGGGCGCCACGCTGACGCCCATGGTCGTGTACGGCATGCAGTCGCTGTGCCCCTTTGACACGGTGGCGTTTGGCCGGTCGGACTTTTGCTCGCTCTTCACGGCCGACGAGTGGCTCGGGTTCGAGTACAGCTACGACCTCAAGTTCCAGTACTCGTACGGCGCGCCCTCGCCCATCGGCCACGCCATGGGCCTTGGCTGGCTGAACGAGCTCCTTGCGCGGCTCAAGGGCGAAAAGTGGGACCGGTCGACGCAGACGAGCGAGAACGCCACGCTCAACACCAACGACCGCACGTTTCCCGTCGACCGGCGCGTCTATGTCGATTTCACCCACGACTCGACGGTGACGGCGGTGCTTGCGGCGCTGGACCTGCCCAAGTTTGCGGAGCCGATTGACAAGGAGCGACGGCAGGACGAGCGGACGTTTAGGTCGAGCAACATTGTGCCGTTTGCGGCTCGGCTGGTGGTCGAGGTGTGGGGCTGTCCATCGACGGGTGGTGGCGGTGGGGCTGCAGCGGCCACGGCGGGGTCGATGGACAAGTGGGTGAGGCTCAAGCTCAACGATGCGACGGTGCCGCTGTCACAGCTCAAGGGGTGCGAGGAGCGACCCGACGGCCTGTGCAGCCTGGCTGCGTTTTTGGAGACGCAGAGGGCGCGCAACGACCACGGGTGGTGGGACGTGTGCGAGGCCTAGGCGGCGTCGTTGGTTCGTTTTTGTTGGGATCCCTCGCTGCTCTGTCTCTCTGTCGCCGCCCGTCTTGTACAGTGCAGCCGCAGCAATGCCCACTCATCCACACTCGACCTGACCAGCGTTGTCCGAGTAGGTAGGTGGGTGGGTAGCGTGGCATGGCTGAGCCTGAGCGTCGGCGCAGTGGGGGTTCGGCGTTTAGAGGTCGCTCGCGTGGCCTGCGGCCTCGGAGATATTTTGAGCCCGGCGGACCGGCCGCGTGCTGCGGGTGCAGAGGGTTCGGTGCCTGCCTGCCTGCCTGCCTTCCTGGTGCAGTTGTGTACCTCCGCTGTCGCGCCAAGCTTACAGACGAACCACGACGACCGCAATCGACGCCGCCACCTCTCGGAGGGGTGTATTCTACGTCGCCCTGTCACACTTCGAGCACTGCCCCAGCTCGACTCGACTCAGCCGATCCACGGCACCACTCACTCGAGCTCGAGCCGTTGCCGGCCAAACAAGGCAAGCAAAGGCGGACACGATGGCGCCCGATCCCTACGCGCGGCTGTACCGCGGCATGCTACCGTTCCACAACTCGTTCCGTACCCACCTCTCTTCGATCCAACGTCTCCTCTCCACCCTTCCCCCTCCACCGTCGCCGCCGCCAACAAGCACAACCACGACCACGACGACGGAGCCGAGGACGGCAACGCCGACGACGACGACGACGACCAAGACAAGCCTAGAAGCCTCGATGCTACCCACGGTGACGTCGATACTTCAGACCTCTCTCACGCTATGCCACCATCTACACGTGCACCATTCGATCGAGGAGCACCACATCTTTCCGCGCCTCGCAGCCAAGATGCCCCAGTTCGGGCAGCACGACCAGCATGTACGCGAGCACGCGCAGATGACGCGCCACGTCGACGCCCTCGAACGCTACTGCACCCTGGCGCTGCGCGAACTCAGAAAGGGAAAGGGTGCGGCGGGTGCGTTTGAGGTCCAGCAGATGAGGATACTCGTTGGCGCCCTCGAGGACACCCTGCTTCCACATCTACAGGAGGAGGAGGAGAGCCTCAAAGCGGAGAACCTCAAGAGGGCCGGGTTTGATGTGAGCGAGATCAGTAGGATTCCTTTGTGATTTCCCCGTCCCCGATGGAAGAGGAAGGGGAGGCGTCGATGGGCATGCAGGCAGCGTGCGAGCATGACATGCCACGACAAGATACGGTCCCCCCCTCGCAGCAGCTCGCAATCAAGCACCTTCTCTACGTCGCCCCCGAGCGTGCGTCCGAGGCCGGCAAAGGCGCACCGACGCATCGAGCGAGGACCATCTCGAACGGCCACCATGATGGCGAACGCGCGAAACTGCAACAGCGGGAAAAGGGAGGGACTCCAATCTATCCATTTCGGTGTTCCGTGACGTCAAGACGGCGTGCTTGTCATCGGAGATCGATACGGGGCACGGGTCATGGGAATCTAGAGGAGAGGGGTCGGGAAGGGAACGAATAAGCTACGGGCGAAGGTGGGTGGGAGTAGGGAGGGGAGGCGGGAGCAGTGTTCGTGAGTTCCAGGAGGAAGGGGAGAGGAGGCGGGAGCAATGTTCGTGCTTTCCGGGAGGATGAGAGGAGAGGAGAGGAGGAAGGAGCGTGGCCCGTTGCCGGGCCAGCCAGCTGCTCCCAAGCGATGGAGGTCGAGTTGAGGACGGGCCCAAGAACGCCGCAGGGAGCGCTCTAAGACGAGAAGGGGTAGGCCTTGGCGAGGTTGTTGTCAAAGTTGGCGTCGATGATGAGCGGGTTGGCGTCGCCCCACGAGTGGCCGTCGAGGCCGCGCTTGGCAATGTCGGGGAGCGCCTCCCAGGTGATGACGGGGTAGCGGCGACCGCCCTTGTCAGTCAGGTCGTTGGCGTGCGAGTTGATGCTGCGGCGAAGACGCGACGAGGGACAAGGAGGTCACGGGGGGACGAGGGAAAGGGGCCAAGGTCAGCTCGCAAGTTCTCCAGAGAGAGAGAGGATCGCGGCGCGACTCGACGCGGCTGCGATCGAGGCCCGCAAAACGCAACGTACCCCTCTGCGCTGTACTGGATCTTGACAGTGTCGCCGTCACGGTCGGCACCGGGGACGGGCACGTAGTTGCGCCAGTGACCGTGCGCGCTGGCGGAGGCGCCGAGGATCTTGGGGTTGGCGGCGGCCGGGTTGTCGATCCAGACGATGGCACCCTCCCCTGTCACCGCGGGCGAAAGCGAGCGAGGTCGAGAAAGCAAGAGCGTGGCGGGAACGGGCGGGGTGCAATTCAAGGACCATGAAGCAATCAAGGTCAGCCGGGGGGTTGCCTCTGGAATCTCTGCGCTGTCCGTCTCGCCCGTCGGTTGACGACGAGCGACCAACTCACAGTCGTGACGGTGTCCGATGCCCGAGCTGACGACATCCTTGGGGAAGTACCACGAGTACACGATGGCCCACTTGCCGCGGTACCACTTGGAGCGGACGTAGACCTGACCGGGCTTGGTCTGGTCCTTGCAGGCGGCCGAAGGCGCGCCAGTAGGGGCGAGACCGCCGGACCAGTCACCGTTGGCCTGGACGGCGGCGTAGGGGTAGCAGCCGTTGCCTGAGGAGACGGAAGAGAGGCGGGCATCACGGATGGCCGACGGCAAGGGACCGGTAAGCTAGGGGGCTGAGCTCGACGCCGTACCATTGACCAGGAAGCGAGGCGGGAGGGAATGGCGAGGAAGAACACTGAGGTCCAAAGTACGCACCGACATGCAGCGACGGGTTGAAGCGGATCGCAACGCGGTCGCTGGCCGACGTGGGGTTGATCTGCGGGAACGACTGCACCTGGTCGTGGTTGATCTCGTTGGCCGCCGACACGAGCGAGGCGGCGGCGAGCGCAAGGGTGGCGAGGGAGAGCTTGAACTGCATCTTGGCGGCGCGGCTGGGATGGAGGGCTGGGGAATAGTCTGGGCTGTGAGGGGAGAGGGGCAGATGGAGATGGAAGGAGGGCTGTGTTGTTGCAATGACAAGAGGGGCTGAGGACGGTCGAAGACGTCGGTTTATATCCTCGTCGTCGTTGTCGTCGACTGAGCGACGAGATGGAGAGGGAGGTGCTCCGTCGACGGGGGACGACCGTGAGCGAGGCGAGTCGATGCTGGCGCCGTGACTCCGTCAAGCCAGCGCTGTGCTCCTCAGCCCTGGCGAGTTAGCGCGCCTTGCCCTGCGGCTTGTCTAGGTGTGCAGCAGGACGGCTTTCCTCGTCCCGTCGCAACGCGCATGGTGGCGTGGGGGAGAATAGCCCACGTTCTCGCTTCTGACGGCATTCGATGCCTGCCTGCCTTCCCGCCTGGCTGGCTGGCTGGCTGGCTGGCACGTTTGGGATTCCATGTCTCGAAGAATCGAGGTGCACGTCGTCGAGCAAAGAGAGAATACCGGCAGAGGATGTCGAGGCGGATGTGCGTGCGAGAGCAGATGCGAGCGCTCTCCACTTGTGCTTCACTCGTCGGACGTCTGGATCCGTGCGCCTGGTGCAGGGAATTCAGCTGTGGAAACGTCCGGCGTTGACTTGTGCAAGGACAGGGTCAGGTTCCAGCCGCCGCCGCCGTCACCCGGGCCGCATCCCCCAGTCACAGGCGCCCTCTGCCAAGGACCGTCGTCCGTCAACGGCACGGTAGGGGTGCGATGGGCGGGGACGGGGCGTTGGCTGTCAAGTTCTGCCCGTCTCGCGTCGGGCCCCCTACCCTCGGTCGCCCCATAGGAACGCCGGTGTTGGCATCGTGTCCGCCCGTCCTCGTTCCAAGCTCGGACGGTACGGCATGTCGTACAGGCAGAACTTAGACTCTCGCCGCAGCTTCGGAACCGCGTCGATTTGAGACCGCCGCTGCAGCATACAGTAGTCTTTGTGTCATGCTGCCCTGTTCGCCGCCACCTTTGCCCTCCTCTTTGTCTCTCTTTCTCCTGAACAATTCACGGTTACGTGACATTCGTGCCTGCGATCCAAAGCGCAGCCGCTTCCTTCGTTTCAACTGTATGTAAGCCCATATCTGTTGCGGCGCCATGCCACGGACGGCGCCGATCATCTTGGCATCACACCGAGGAACGTCTCGCCAAGTGCACTGCAGTACTTACGTACCTACGTACCCACGTACGGAACGCGTCCCTGGCCTGCCACTGGAGAGCGCCTGATTGACACGGTATCCGCCAATCCGGTGCAGAGAGTCGAAGCCGACGTCGGATCCAGGGCGGACAAGGTGCAGACCTCCGAGGCACGTGTCCAGGCGCCAGGCTTCGCCACTGAATTGAATCCGGGCTGGCTCTCGGAACTTCCTCCCAGGCTCTTGTCTGGAGCATGTTAGCCACCGCGCGTGCGACAGCAGGTGGTCCGGGTGTATGCGCAGCTAGTCACGTACAGAGGCTTCCTCGTCGCTGCACATGCGGATCCAGTCTAGACTTCAGGCCGTATGTAAACCAGCGAGGCCATTGTACACGCCACGCGGAGCCGGTATGTACCCGTCGGCGCCCCCCTCTGCACATCTCCGACCTCCCGGAACCGCTCGATTGACCGACACAAACAGTTGATGCTCTTACGCACCACGTCTATTTCCACCTCGACTCGACCGTACGCATGCAGTGGTGGACGTACCCTCTCACGGTTGCAGATCCACGCCCTGCGCACGTCCTCGGCGCCAACGTACCTCCTTCGGCCCGAGCGAGGTGTACAATACACCACGTACCCGCCCAACCTTGGCTCCATTGACGGGGGGGTCAAACGAGGCTAGAGTGGGGGCCGCAACAAGGGGATCCTGAGTACCTAGCTGGTTACGATGCGATGCAAGCAAGACCTTGCCGTCACGACGGCGGTGTCGCGATGAAACACGAGAAACCTCATCGTCTCGAAACAAAAGCGCCACACACACGCACACACTTGCGTAGCTACGTACCGATGTCGCACGCACGCACGCACGCACGTACTGTCGTCGCCGGAACGACGGTTCCGGACCCGATCTCCGCACCACCATCTCGAGGCCGAAGACCTGCGCGCACGTCCTGGCAACAGGTTCGGTATCACTTCCATCTCGCTGCTGCGGACATGGACATGAGGCAGAGAACACGAGAGCCGCGGGCTGAACCGCACGACCGTCTCTCCTGATTCGAGAGCATCCGATCCTCGTCCTTCTCGTCGGAACAGCCTCTCCGTAGGTCTCGACCATGACGGCCAACATCGGCCTAGACGCACGGCGCACGATACGGTTCGCCGTCGCCGTGCACACGTACGTCCCGGACTCGTTACCCGGTCGAGCTCAGAGCGACATCGGTCGATCGCACCATCACCAAGACGCACGTGTCGAAGCTCCGAGTCACGCAGAGAGGACCAATGACAGACCAGGGCATGTTTGTTCGCATTCGTATTGCAGCGCAAACAGGTAATGACGCGCCAGCAGCGGCAAGGTCGTCGTCGTCGAGCCAGACCGTCTCTAGTCACCTCTGGCCGCCGCCACCGCCGAGCTACTGCCGGCCAAAGAAGCGCGCCATGCGCTCGCTCCACGAGAGGCTCGTCTTCTTGCCTTGCGCCGCGCGGTCGAGGGCGGCGACGAGCTTCTCATAGTACTGCGGGTTGCTCGCCGGTCGTCGCACGTTGTCGGGGACGCCAAACTTGGCCTCGACGCCGCCGTCGCGCAGCTCCTGCAGCGCCGCGAGCGCCCGCCTGGCATAGTCGAGCTCCTTGAGCGTCAGCTGGCGCACGCCCACCTTGGTCGGGTCGACGGCGCCCACCTGGTGCTCGGACAGGGCAGACTGGCTCTGCACCGTCAGCAACGACGTCTGAGCCGCAGAAACAATCGACTTGCCAAACGAGAGGTCCGGCCGCAGCGGGTCCGTGGGCCAGCTCTCTCCCAGCTGCGAGAATTGCGAGTAGACGGTCTGAATCTCCTCGGTCGTCGCCAGCGGCTCGTTGCCGTCGAGCGTCGTCTTTCGCCCCGTCGCCGATGACGACGACGACGACGCTGCCTTGTCGCTGCGGCGGGCCGACGTCGAGAAGCTCCGCTTACCGCCCACAGACCCGCTGCTGCCGGTCGTCGATGCCGACGACGGCGCCTTCTTGAGCTCCTCGCGCAGCACCAGCATGCACGACTCGATGACGTCGACCGCCTTGTCGACCTGCTCCTGGGTCACGGTCAGCGAGGGGATGATGCGCACCGTGTCGTTGCCCGCCGTCAGGATCAGCAGGCCGCGCTGGCGGGCGAGGGCCACGACGCGGCCGGCGTGGGCGGGGTCCTTCATGCTGAGTCCGACCAGCAGGCCCTTGCCGCGCGGCGAGGGCTTACCGGCCTCGGGCTCGTGGCGGACCAGGTCGGAAAACATGTCGCGCACCTGCTCGAGGCGGCCCAGGAGCGACGCCGAGGCGGCCTTCATCGACTTGATGAGCTCCGGGTTCGAGAGGCGTCCGAGCACATGGTGGGCGATGGCACTCGTCAGGGGCCCGCCGCCAAACGTGGTGCCGTGGTCGCCCACAGCAATGCGCTCGGCGACAGCGTCGCGCATCAGGACGGCACCGATGGGGAAGCCGTTGGCGAGGGGCTTGGCCATGGTGACCATGTCCGGGTGAGCGTCGGTGGGGAACTCGGAGTGGCACCAGAGGGTGCCAGAGCGGAAGAGGCCGCACTGGATCTCGTCAAAGATGAGCATGGCGCCGACGTCGTCGCAGCGCTTGCGGAGCGCCTGGAGGAACTCGAGCTTGGCGGGGAAGATGCCGCCCTCGCCCTGGACGGGCTCGACAATGACGCCGGCGGTGTGCTCGGTGATGAGCTGGTCGAGGCCGTCGAGGGAGTTGTAGTCGCCGACGACGACGTCGCCGATGAGCGGGGCAAAGGGCGCCTGGTACTTTGGGTTGGGGGTGACCGAGAGGGCGCCCATGGTCCTGCCGTGGAAGGCGTTGTTGAAGCAGACGAGCTGGGTCTTGTGGTCGCCGTGCTGCTTGCCGGCCTTGCGGGCAAACTTGAGGGCAGCCTCGTTGGCCTCTGTGCCGCTGTTGGCGAGGAAGACCTTGAGGCCGGTCTGCGAGTCTGCGGGCGGCTGTGCGCCCTTTGCGAAGCCGAGGCCGCCGTGCTGGTGGGTGAGCTTGACCATCTTGTCGGCCAGCTCGCCGCTCCACTCGTTGTGGTAGAGGTTCGATGCGTGTACGAGGCGTGCGCTCTGCTCGCCGGCGAGCTTTGCAATCTGCGGGTCCGAGTGTCCCAGCGAGTTTACGGCGATGCCCGAGGAAAAGTCGAGGTACTTGCGCTCTGCGGAGCCGTCGTTTGTGTTTGGGTCTGCGGCCGAGTAGAGGTCGAGGCCGGAACCGCGGGTGAAGAGGAGCTGCGGGCGGGAGTAGGTGGCTAGGACGGAAGCCGAGAAGCGCGAGAGGGTCGAGGCGATGTGGGAGCCCTGGGAGGCGTCGCCGTCGGGGTGGGTGGCCCGAAGGTAGTCGGAGCAGGGTTTCCCAGAGTGGGTGGCGAGGAGGCGGATCGAGTGAAGTTGGTTGTGGGGCTGGGCGAGGAGGCGCCGCGAGAGGGTGGACCCCGCCGTTGTGGATAGGCGGTAGGACATGCTGGGCCGATGGATGAGGGGTCGGTTCGGCAGGGATGCCGAGGCGGACCGAGGTGGGACGAGGGAGGGATGCGGTGGCTAGTGATGAGGATGCGAGGCGAGCAGCGATGCCAGTAGAGCCAGATTAAAGGGACGTGATGGTGGTGGTGGTGACGGCGGTAATGGTGATGGGCAGGAACGGATGGGTAAGCGTCGCTCAGGCAGGGATGCCAGTCGAGAAGGGTCGAAGAGGGTCGAGGGCAGCAATCGAAAATGACGCCGAGGCAAGCCGGTAGGTAGGACGAGGCGCCTTGAGAAGACGCACGTCCAAGGCCGAGCTGCAAAGTGGAGTCAAGCCGGAGTCACTTTGGGCGCTCCGGCGGGCCCTTATCTCAGCGCCCCATCGCGCCATCGGGGCGAGGTGCCCCATCGATGGGCTCTCGCCCGATCGTCTATCCTCCTGGCCCCTTTGCCCACCCACAGGCCCGCCTGCACTCGAACAAGGTGGCGAGGTCGACGGATGGCCATGGCGACGGCGGTCAAAGGCAGTGAGCATCCATCGAAAGCCTGGACTAGGTCACAGATGCGCGGCGTCGTCTGGCCAGCCACCAGCCTCGGGCCGTCGAGCTGCCGAGTTGCGGCTGGAGGAAATCCCATGATCTTGTCGCCATCGAGCACCGGCTACGGAGCGGGTGGATACGCGCTAGTGGTCCGGCCTAAATGGCGTATGCAGAGGCACCAGGCGTGGTGGTGATAGGCCTGGTCTGGTATGGGCATCCTGGTGGCGCGATTGAAGCGGTGTCGAGGCCCGCCCAGGCTGAGCGCGGGGTGGCGGTGATCGAGAGGCCAACTTGGCCCCACACGGGCCCCCTGCGCCGCACCGGCCAGCCGGCCGCCCAGGCCACGCACCTCTCCACTTTTTGGAGCTGGGCCCAGGCAGGCGGTGCAGGCACACCCGACACCACCGGCCCCCTTGCCCTTCTCTACCATCCCGCCCGCACCAACACACACTCCCCGTCGCCGCACTCGTCTCCCTCGCCTGCTACACCGCACCGTGCCGCACCTCTCGCCACCGCGCCCTCCTCACCACAGACAGCATCCTCCCTCGTCGATACTAGGCCAAACATGAGCGCAGGTGCAGGCGAAAGCGCATACAGGTGAGCCCCCCCTCTCGACCCAGCCCATCCCCGCGTGGGCCTGCCACGCGTTGCAGATGGCTCACCTCCCCGTCCTTCTCTCTCCTGCTCATCCCTCCTCTGCACAGCTTCTCGCTGACAACATTCTCGCCCAGCGGAAAGGTGCGTGCCGCCGCCATGGCCCATTACCGGCTCATCCCGCCAGCGCTGACCTCCGACCTCGCCTTGCCACGTCTCCATCGCACTTCCCTGGCCCTGGTCCACCGCCTCTCCAGCTCGTCCAGATCGAACATGCGCTAGCGGCCGTATCAGCAGGCGCAACCAGCCTTGGCATCAAGGGTGAGTTGTAGCCACGCTGCTGCTGCTGCTGTGCCCCCCCACGATCCTCGACGACGACGACTGACACCCAACCCATGCCCGCCCTGCCGCCCGCCCACCCTCCACCAGCCTCCAACGCCATCGTCATCGCCACGGAAAAGCGACCACCCTCGCCGCTGGTCGACGACTCGGCCCTCGAAAAGGTCTCGCTCATCTGCCCCAACATCGGCATCGTCTACTCGGGCATGGGCCCCGACTTCCGCGTCCTCGTCGCATCGGCCCGCAAGTCGGCACAGGCCTACTGGAAAATCTACGGAGAGTACCCGCCCACCCGCGTCCTGGTCCAGGAGATCGCCACCGTCATGCAGCAGGCCACCCAGCGCGGCGGCGTGCGTCCCTTTGGCGTGTCCCTCCTCGTCGCCGGCTTCGACTCGGCCCGAGGCCCCTCCCTCTACCAGGTCGACCCCTCCGGCTCCTATTTCATGTGGAAGGCCAGCGCCATTGGCAAAAACATGGTCAACGCAAAGACGTTCCTCGAAAAGCGCTACAACGACGATATCTCCCAAGAGGACGCCATCCACACCGCCCTCCTCACCCTCAAGGAGGGCTTCGAGGGACAGATGACGGAAAAGACCATCGAGATTGGCGTCATTGGCACCTCGACCATCGGGCCCGTCGCCGGCAGCGGAAAAGAGGCGCCCGTGTTTAGAAAGCTCAGCGAGGCAGAGATCCGCGACTAGTGAGTGCCCGTTCGCCCTCCACGACCCCCCACCGTCGTCGAAGGCCGTCACAGGTGCCGCAAGCCAAGCCGCAGAATGCTGACGCTGCGTCCCTCTCGTCCCACGCACTGACTCGTTCCACACCGCCCCGCAGCCTGGCGCTCTGATCTGGGCTTCCTCGCTGCTTGCCGCCGACATCTTGTACCCTCTCGTCTCTCGCAGCTCGTCATTGAAACACTACTACGCACCAACAGACCCCTGCCGTCCCCTCGTCGCCAGCGTGCGATGCGGTGGCCCACCGGCCGCCTCTTAGGCGCCCGGGCCCCTCATGTTGCTCCCGAGCCAGCCCACAACGCCGCCCAGCACGGCGAGGACGTCTTGCGCCTGTCCCCGCTGCTTGCCCTCGACGTAGAGCGCAACGACGACGCCTGCCACGCCGACGACGGCCACTACGGTGCCCAGCACCACCTCCTTGGTCCTCTTGTCGTCGTAGCGAAGCAGCCGGTACCGCTTGCGCTCCTTGGCCCGCGTCGACTTCTCCTTGCCTCCGCCCTCGCCCTCGTCGTATCCGTCGTCGAAGGCGGGCGGGGAGGGCTGCGGGTCGACGACGATCGACGAGACCGTCTCCACGATCCGCTCCGCCAGCGCGTCGCGGGCTCGCCAGGCGTCGGTGTCGTCGGCCTTGTCCGCCGAGCCCAATTCGGACTGGAGGTCGCTCCAGGTAAAGATGACGCTCTTGGGTCCCATGACCTTGTCGGCGCCCAGCGAGGCGCTCGATAGCGGGTGGGCCTCCATCAGCTCCCTGGCCTTTCGCAGGAGGTGCAAGAGCGGCACCGCCTCCTGATTTTGCTGCGGAGTGGCATCCTCGTGCCGGGCACGGTCGCCGCGGGAGCTGGGCGGATCGACATCTGGGTCTGCGTAGAGGCCGTGTGCATCGCTGACGGCTGCCTCGGGTCGCTGTTCGCCGACCGACTTCCCGACCTGCCCCTGCTCGTCGCCCTCGTCGCCGTTGCCGTCGCCGTCAAGCGTGAAGCGCGGTAGCTTGCTCAGCACCATGTGCAGCATGGCCTGGTCCTCGACCTCGTCACCGTCCAGGCCCTCGAGCTCCCGCTTCTTGACCAGCAGCACAACTGCCGCGCAGAGGTAGACGACGCTCTGCGGTCCGTGTGCGAGGACAAAGTCAAAGCAGCGCTGCACCAGCCGCTGGTCCTCGAGGTCGTGCGAAAAGAGCGTGAGGAGCCAGGACAGGGCGAAAAAGGGCAGCGCCGACGCCGCCTCGACCCTTCCCGCCAGCTCAGCATCCTCGGCCCGGACCAGGTTGCGCACTAGCTTGAGCTGGCCCATGATCGGGTCTAGGTCGTGCGTCATGCTGTCGCGCACAAAGTGCAGGCTCAGCCGCTCGACGGCCAGCAAGAGGCCATGTCGCTCGTCCTCGTCGCGCCACGGCTCGCCGTCCTCCTTGACGTCGTCGCCGGACATGGCCAACGCGAGGACGAGGACGCTGACGACGTCGTGGTAGCCCTGGAAGTAGTTGAGCGTGGGGTGGCGCCGGAGAGTGAGGACGACGACCTCTTCTAGCTGCTTGCGCCGGACCTGCCTCTCGTGTGCCGTCTGGCTGGCAAAGGCGGGGCCGACAAAGCTTCGTCGGATGTCCTTGTCCACCTGCTCCTCGTCGCGGTGCGTGGGCAGCCCGCCAAGCGCAGCGGGATTCGCCGGCGTCGGCCCCGCAGCCTCTCCATTGTCGTCCGGGCGATCCCTCGTCGACGTTCTCTTGTGCGCTCCCGACCTCTTGCTCTTCTTCTTCTTCTTTTTCGTGGCCGTTGCATGCTGCGGCGGTGGAGCCGAGACCTTGTTGTCTTCCGTCGTCGGGATCGCCGGGCGGCTATCGCCATCTTGCCCCTGCCCCTCGCTCTCGTCCTCCAACTGCGAGGGCGAGGGCGAGGGGCGCGTCGAATTTCTCCTCTTCTGCAAAGTCCGGGTCCTTTTGCTGGTCACCGTCTCCCACTCCTCGGTCTGTTGCTGAGACAGCTTCGTTATGGCATGGGGGGATGTCGCAGAAGCCGAAAGGGGCTCGTCGAGGGACAGTGCGTCGAGGGCGGCAATCTGCCATCCGTCCTTGTCGACGGGGACGCGCTCGGCGTCGCGGACGAGTTCGGGCCTCGGGCTCGAGGCGGGTGTGCTGACGGGCTGGTGTATGCTGTCGGCCAGGATGTCGCTCTTTGAGTTGCTACGTGTGTGCGAGGACGAGGAGGCCTGCGAGTCGCCCTGGTCGCTCTCGGCGCCGTGCGTCGAGGAGGCAGGCTTTGCGGGGCGTTTTGGGAGGGTATTGCGAGGCTGTGTTGCCTCGACGGTAAGGTCGCTGCTCGCGTGTAGCAAAAAGAGCCTGAAGGGAGGGGAGGGAGGGAAAGGAGCGCAGATGGGTCAGCATGCCGCGACGCCCCCGGGGTTGCGGTCGCGTCGGCGTCTCCCGACTCACCATGCAGCCTTGCGGAAGCCGTCCGAGGTGTGACCGTCTAGGTCTCTGTCGAAGCCGCCGGACTGCAAGGAGCGCTGCTGAAGCAGATCCAGGCGCGACGCTCTTTCCTGGATCGTCATTTTCTCCGTGTTGCAGGGCCTAAGCACAAGAACCGCCGTTGCCTCGCCGGCTCGTCGGACAAGCGTTCAGGGTGCGCTGGTGCAGTCTGGGGGCGGCCGCCTGCTCGACGTGGTCGACGAATTGCTGGCTCGGTCGATTGGCGTGCTTTGTTTGTGGTGCAGATGGCAACAGAGATGCCGAAGGGGTATATGGACGGATGCGAAGCAGAGGCTGGAGACGAGGACGGGCGGGCAGGTAGAGACAGAGGCCTAGGAGCAGGCTGGAGGTCGAGAGCGAACCCCGACAAGGCTCGGCCCCCCCAGCGAGTGGAGGTGGTCTGGCCCCGCCCCGCCCAGCTCTCGCGTTGTCTGTGACTGACCTGGCGGTCCGTGCCCCCCACACACGCCCTGCCTGCTCGGCTCGCCTCGCCTGGGGTTTGCCACGCCGGCCGGGCCACGCCTGTCTGGGCACGCCTGCCTGCCTCGCTTCCGCTCGAGAAAGACAGCCAGATCCAGGCAGGGGCGAGGCCAGGCAGGCAGGCTAGGGCTTGGGTTGAGCCTCGGCTCACGCCCGCTCCCTCGCTCCCTCGCTCCCTCGCTCCCTCGCTCCCTCGCTCCCTCGCTCCCTCGCTCCCTCGCTCCCTTCGTTTGCCCGACCCGGCCCTCGTCCGGCCTCCGGTCCGTGGCAGCAGGTCCGTTGCCTGGATCCGCCAAGCTGTTGCTCAGCTCTAGCTCTCGGGACCACCGATGGCTACGGCGACAGCAAGGCGACGGCAGCCAGACTGAGACGAAGCACTATTCCGAACGTCGCGACGTTCGCAGTGTCTTGTGACAGACGTCGCCGTCGGGAGGACCTGCAACGTCCAACCGTTCGAGGAGCATCAGCTGCTGCTGCCTCGCCAGGACGCGCCGTACGTGTATCTACGCAGCACGGAAGGCAAGACGCTGACCCGAGCCGATCAACGTTCGACGCTCGGCGGGCCTGCCGTACCGGGCTTGCGCCGAAACCACCGGCCAAACGCAAGCAAGCTGCTGCCCGTACGTCGGTACGTAACAGGCTGGCTGGCCTGGCCAGGCTAGGCGGGTGGCGGCCTAGGGCCAGGCATAAAATTGGATGGCTTCAGTCCCACGCCATCGCCGTCCGGCCTGGCTCCTTCCCTCGAGCCTCGATCCACCACCATCGCGCGAGCAGCCTCAGCAGGATGCGGGGCAGCCAACAGAAGCCATATGCATATGATTTCGGCCGACACGCGTGTTGGCCGCGGCTCGTGGTCAGCGTCACCGCGTCCGGGACGACGCCGAGCTGAAATGAGGCCAGAACGTCGGTCGGCCATTCTCTGCTGGGTTGCTCAACAAGCAAGTACGCCGCCGCCACGACCGCGGGGCGCTCACCTGCGTTCGGCCTGGCATCTGTCCGTGCCTAGGTACTTTGCTTGCGACCTGTACGTGTGAAGATGCAACCGGGGGAGCGGGCAGGGCCTAGCCATGCCATGCCATATGTAACTACCAAGCAAGGCAGGCATCTCTCTCTCTCGAAGGCGGCGTGTTTCATGCAGCGGGCTTAGCTTGCTTGCCTGCTTGCCGGCGTGCTTGTTTCCTGCGGCTTGCTTGCTTGCTTGCTTGCAGGCCTGCCTGCCTGCCGGCTGGCCCGGACGCGGGCGACAAGGTGGCCGCCTGCGAGAGGCAGCGAGAGGGCCTGGCCTGGCCACCCGAAACCGGCGCGAAAGGAAATGCCGCCCCGCTGGTAGGCTCGAGGGGTTAGACGCCCGCCCGCCCTTTCCTGGAGCCCTCTGGCGCGACGTTTGCGAAACCCAAGCAGGCTTGAGAGACCAGCCCGGCCCAGCAGGCGGGCCCGGCCTAGCCATGCATCTCGCTCAGCTTACGGCCTCGCTCCACCCCTGCCTGCGTCTGCATCTCAGCCCGTTCGCCAGCCCGCCAGCCCGCCCGCCCGCTCGCCGGCCTCGTACCTACCCTACCCATCCTCGTCTCATCCCCCGCGGCTTGCTCGCTCGACCTCGTTTGCAGCCAACCACCATCACCACCACTCCTCTTTTCCCCGCACGGCTCGACGCGACCGCGACCGCGACCACCCAAGTGCAAACCTCTTTGGACGGCCACCCTCGGCGTGGCTCTCGTCTCGCGCCCTCTCTTCCTCGTCCTCGCCCTCCACAGCTTCGCTGCTCGTCGGAGAGTCCGACCTACACCTCGCGCCTTCGGCTTCTCACCTCCTCGGACAAGCCGCTTTCGCCGCCCGCCACCCCCCCTTACCCGTATCTGTCCGCCGCCATGTCTGCTGCTCCCGGAAGCTCCGACCTGCGAAAGAAGCGGAAGATTGCTGTCCTCGGCTCAAGATCCGTCGGTGCGTAGCCGGCCGCTGTCCATGGCGCAAGGTTTGCTAGGGCGATGCACGATTGGCTGACGCTGAGGCTCCTCTCCTCGACCTCTCTGCCCCCCAATAACTGCCCCTGTCGCTCGCTCGGCCCACACAGGCAAGTCGTCGCTCATCGTGCGCTACGTCGAGGATGCCTTTGTCGATGCCTACTATCCCACCATCGAAAACATCTTCCAGAAGGTCATCACCTACAAGGGCCAGGAGTACGACTGCGACATCATCGACACGGCAGGTCAGGTGGGTGCACGTCACGTCGGCTGCCCCTTCCCGGTGTCGAGGTGCGGCGAGCTGACCCGACCCTCCCTTGCTTGATCCCTCCAATCCTTCGCTGCTCCCGCCGATCGCGACAGGACGAGTACTCGATCCTCAATTCCAAGCATGCCATCGGCATCCACGGCTACGTGCTCGTCTACTCGATCGCCTCGCGCAACAGCTTCGAGATGATCCAGACCGTCTACGACAAGATCCTCAATTACACGGGAACGGAGCACGTCCCCTGCGTCATTGTCGGCCAGAAGAGCGATCTCCACGTCCAGAGGTGGGTGTTGCCGTCCCCTATTTGCTCCGTTTCGCTGTTCCCGCCGCCCTCCTTCTCTGCACCTGCACCTGCTGATCGACCACCAACCTCTCGCTCTGCTTGCCTGCCCTCGGCCACCTTCGCCACACCTCTCGACGACAGACAAGTATCAGAGGCAGATGGAAAGGCGCTCTCGCAGCAGCTCCAGTGCGCATGGATCGAGACGAGTGCTCGGCACAATGCGAACGTCGGTGAGTAGCTTCCGCTCCCCTCTCCTGGCCAGCCGAGCCCGTCGACCCCCGCTCGACCTTGGCCTCTGACCTCGTCTCACCTCGTCGCCTTCTTCCTCCGTCGCCCTCCGCAGCCAAAGTCTTTGAGCTGATGCTCAGCCAGACGGAAAAGGGCCTTCAAGACGGCGGTCCGGAACCCCAGCCCTCCAAGTGCACCGTCATGTAGAGAGAGCAACGACCGCCCTCTTTCTCTGCTCTCCTGGGCTCGGACGTCGCCGCCACTACCGCCGCGCGCCCACGAGCGCCATGCCACTCTCTCGGGCGCTCTCACAAACAGACGAATGGACTGTCGCTCGGCCAATTGCCATCGTAATGGACCTTTCCTCTGTGTTTCTCTCCGTTTCGCCTTCGCCGGACCCCCCGAACACCACACGACCGGGTCGACCACGACCTCTGCGGCTGCTGCTGCTGCTGCTGCATCTCGTCGTCGCGTTTCTTCCATCATTCCTCCTTCCTAGCGCTCGTCGCTACGGTCACCAAGCGCCTGATCCAGAGCCGCGCTGGTAATTCTTGCTCCACCTTCGCCGCTGTTGTACCGTTGCCCCCTACCGCCCGCCCGTCTGCCCGCGTCGTCGCGTCTTATCCTTATTTTGGGCCTGTCTCGATCCCGATCCGATGCCGTCGTGTGCGTTGCTATGCGAGGAGAGTGGAGATGCCCGCCGGTGTGCCCGCCAGCAGGCAGGTGGGGACACCTGTCTGAAGGTGCCGAAGCAGTGCCGCGACAGAGCCTCGACGAGCGGTGAGAGGGTGTGGGATGAGGACTCCCGAGGGTATATTGTGAAATGGTTGAGTGGTGGTACAGATGATGGGTTGGGGTGCGTGCCACTACTGGGGGCTGACTCGACAGCGATCGGAAGCCGTTGCTCGACGGGTGCCGAGTGCCTGGACGTCGGGCGGCGGTGTGTCGTTAGCGCTGAGCTCCCGGGGATTCGAGCGATGGGCCATCTCGAGCTGGTCGGCGCCGAGAGGCGGGTCGATGCGACTTGACGAAGGGTAGAGGGCCCGAGCGGTATTGTGCCGTGCTGACAGCTGCGGTCGACCTGTTGGCTCGAAGGGTCGCCGGAAGCGCCGCGTCCACTGCATCGAAGCTGCTGATCGGCGAGGGGTGGTGCCGGCGTGATTCTGCACCGCAGGCCTTGTGAGGAACGGCATGGCGCTGGAGTGTTGCCCGTCGAGGGCGCTTGTCTTGGGGTGAAGCTGCGCCACCGATGGCCGATGGACGCCGACAAATGTGGCCAGGTTGCGCACTCTGTCGAGTCTACGCAGGCGGTCGCTGGCCAGCAGGCGGGTGAGCGTATCCTAGGGAGAGGGAATCGCGGTCGATTTAGATGGCCGTTTACTTGCGTGGCGGCTCGATTTCAATCCACCCTCCCTTGCGCGTCAAGAGGACGCGCTGACCGAGACCCTTCATTGGCATCGAGTCGGCATCGCCGTCTTCGGCCTCCTCTGTCAATGGCTCTCCGTCGGCGATGGAGCGACGGGGTGCGGGGCAGGGGAGGATGTTGGACGCCGAGACGCTGACGGTGAGGATCGAGGCGCAGAATGTGGCCAGGAAAAAGGTCGAGGTGGCCAGCCTGCGTCCGCGTATCGACTGGAAGAGGGGGATCATTATCGACGGTGGGTAGACGAGCGGACGGGCGTGGGTGCAAAGCCCCGGTGGTGACGGTCCAGGCGTGGGCGAGGGGAGGTGTTAGGTGGTCGTGATGGTGGTCGTGGCAAGAGGTGGAAGCGGTCAGCCCGACAACACCCTAGCCTCCCGTCCCGAGAAGAAGCGCTGGGCCGGCCTGGCCCGCCTGCGCAGCCCAGTTCAGGCTACCGTAGGCCGGGCCAGGAAGAAGGCGCGGTGGGCGGCCCCGACTTGCGCGCGGGAAGGGAAATTCTAGCGCTTAGGTAAGCCGACCCAACGTCGGGCCCAATCGGTTGCTCGCCATTGGCCGTCGGGTGGAAGGCCCTCGGATGCCCGATTGGGGAAAGAGTTCTCCGATCTCGTCTGGCCTGCGCGATGAGCTGATCGGGCTTTGGGCTGGGCCGGGCCGGGACGAGGGATCCGAACGCCTTGCTTCCGGCATGAAACCGCTTCGACGGCGGAGATGCGAGGTCTGGGCGTACATGGCCCGTCCTAGCCTGATCTCGACTGCCGCTTAATTAGCTTGCTTGTTCCTGTACGACGACGACCGATGTCGGAGCGAGAAGGAAAAGACGCCGCCCCGACCGCTCTCTGTTCGCCGCTCGCCGCCAGAAGGGACGCCCGATGACGGCCCGCCTACCCTAGCCTGCCCGCTGTTCACGCCTGAGTTCGTCAAGCAGCGAGCCCCGCCAAGCCGCTCCGAACAAGGTTTACGCCCGCGCCCGTCAAGGTGCTACCGTACCGGTGCAGCCGCGGACGGGCGGGCTTCCCGCTCCGCTCCGCCGCTCGACCATCGGCCCTCCTCGCAGCCTGGTGCGGGCGGTCTGGGCCGGGATGTCTTCGCCGCCTTACGGTGTGCCCACCCTCACCCAAGACAGAAAGGCGGCGATGGTGGGGACCGCAAAGGCATGCATGGCCTAGACGGGAGGCAGGCTAGCCGGTGCGGCAGCCTAGCTTGCACAGCAGCCGACCGAAGGGCCCTGTCGGCGGTAGTCCGACCATGCTATGGTGGTCTCTCCTGGCCTGAGTGGCTCAATGTGCGGCAGCGAGGTGCAGGCCTCCGACTGGTACGGTAGCAGCCCAACACATACGGCCTCGTCCATCTACGTACACTGCCCTCGCTTTCTGGCTCCGCTGCTATGGGTACAGTACATAGTACCCCACCCATTCGCCCCGACCGCCGAGCGCCGCCGATCCGCGTCCAGTAACGTCAGAGTCATGGTCGAGCTCACGGCCACCTCTGGTCTCGAGCCTCGACGTCGGCAGCGTCGCTCCGTCCAGCATCAAGGTTGCAATCGTATAAGAGCCACCGGGCTGGCCTCGTCGACCATTGTTCGGTCACTGCTAATGTCTACCAGCTCAACTCGGTGTTGAAACCGCTTCACCATATCGCCCCCTTGCCAGGTCATCCCCTGTTCCAACAGTCCCGTACCTCTACCTCGACCGGCGATGCGCTCCACCGTCACGCTCGGCGCTGCGGCGCTCTCGATCCTCGCCCTCACGGCGCCAGCGACCTCGGCGCTCCCGCTCAACGCGACGGGCAGCGATGCCGCATCCGACCCCTCGTCGGCAGACTACGGCCTCCTCTTCGCCCGCCGAGACGCTCCGCTCTCCGACTGCCTCTCGGCGGCCCAGGCGGCCTCGACCAACAGCAACGGCCACCGCTTTGGCATCTCGACGCCCTCGTCGTCCAACTACGCCGCCCTGTCGACCTCGTACAACCCCCTCTTCCACTACAAGCCATCCTACGTCCTGACCCCGACCAGCGGCAAGGACGTCAAGGCCGTCATGCAGTGCCTCGCCGCCCAAAAGGGCCGCGTCAAGCTCACGCCAAAGGGCGGCGGCCACTCGTACGCCGCCTTTTCCCTCGGCGGCGACGACGGCAGCGTCGTCGTCGACCTGCGCCACCTCGACACCATTGCCGTCGATGCCGCCGCCAAGACGGCCACCGTCGGCGCCGGCGTCCGGCTCGGCACGCTGGCCCAGACCATCTGGGACCAGGGCCGCTTTGCGCTCCCGCACGGTACCTGCCCCATGGTCGGCGTTGCGGGCCACTCGCTCGGCGGCGGCTTTGGGTACGCCACGCGCGCCTGGGGCTACCTCATGGACCGCATCGAGAGCCTGCGCGTCGTCCTGCCCTCGGGGTCCATCGTGACCGCCTCGCCCTCCGAGAACCAGGACCTCTTCTGGGCGCTCCGCGGCGGCGGCTCCAACAACTTTGGCGTCGTCACCGCCTTCACCTTCCGCCTCGAGTCGGCGCCCTCGCAGGTGATCAACTACAGCTACAACTTCAAGACCAACGACGACTGCGCCCGCGCTCTCGTGGCGCTGCAGAAGTGGACCGAGGACGCCGATGCGGCGACGGGCATGCCCAAGGAGCTCGGCGGCGAGCTGCTCGTGTCGGGCCAGAACGGAGGCGACTTTGACGGCAACGCGTGCCAGCTGAGCGGTCAGCACCTCGACGCCACGCCCGAGTCGCACCGCGCCGTGATGCAGAGGTTCCTCGACCAGGTGCCGGCGCCCGCGTCGAGCCGGGTGCAGCCGTTTGGCTGGCTCGACTCGCTGACCGACATCATGGGCTCGCTCGCCGTCACGCCGCCGGCCAAGGACCACGAGCAGTTCTACGCCAAGTCGCTCGTCACGCCTCCGTCGGCCCAGTTCACGCACGACCAGGCCCTCGAGCTCATCCGGCAGCTCGACGGCATCGCCGGCCTCGAGGGGTCGGGCAACAGCATCTCGTTTGACTTCCTCGGCCCGCTCTCGTACCCGGCCACGACGGGTTCGCAGCAGCCGTCGTCGTTCAACGCCCACGGCGCCATGTTTGTCTCGCAGTTCTACAGCTACGACTTTCCGGCGTCCAACGACGGCGGCCAGCAGGACCGCGTCCACTCGGCCTTTGACTCGCTCGTCGCCACGATGCAGCGCGTCGACCCGTCGGCCAAGTGGGGCGCCTACGTCAACTACGTCGATGCGAGGCTGCCCGGGTGGGCACAGATGTACTACGGCGACGCCCTCGACCGGCTCAAGTCGCTCAAGGCCCGCTACGACCCGGACACGGTGCTCGACTTTCCGCAGGGCCTGGCGCACGCCTGATGCCCTATCTGCTGGTGCCAGCGGACGGATCGGCCCGCCGTCTATGTGCCTCGCTCGATGCATTCTCTAATCTTATACCTGATCGAAGACAACCTGCCTGCCTGCCTGCCTGCCCATCCATCTTGATCGAGTGGATCTAGCGGAGTGGCCACTGAGGTGTGTGCTCGAGCCCAGGGCCAGGCTAAGCCTTCTTGCCGAGCGAGGCAATGTGCTCGCCGGGGTGACCCTGGAAGTTGCGCTTCTCGTAGTCGGCGAAGCTGGTGGCCATGTCGTTGATGGTCTCGTGGAGGGTGTAGTAGTCGATGCCGAGCACGCGGGCGGCCTTGGAACCGTCGAGGGTGTGCTGGACGACCTTTTGGCCCGGGTTGCCGACGGGCGTGCTGTCCTTGTACTGCTGCGGGATCGAGTTGGAGGCGTGGGTGATGTCGCACACGGCCTGCCAGGTGAGGCCGCCGCTGGTGGTGGCGAAGCGCTGTCCGGCGGCGTCGGCGCGGAGGAGGGCCTGGACGTGACCCGCGGCGACGTCGCGCACGTCGACGACGGCGCCGCGCGGACCGGGAAGTTCGTCGTTTGTGAAGCCGCCGTGCCAGATCTTCCACACCATGCCGGCCGACGTGTTGAGCGACTCTGGCGACTTGACCTGGTGCAGCAGCGGCCCGAGGACGAGGGGCGGGTTGATGGTGGCCAGGTCCCACTGCGGCTTCTCGGCCTCGACAAAGTCCCACGCGGCGCGCTCGGCGAGCGTCTTGGAGGCGCGGTAGGCGTCGGTGCCGTCCTGCTTGTTGCCGAGCTTGTCGACGTTGGCGGGGCTCGACTCGTTCCAGTCCTTTTCATCGAATGCCGTCGGGACGGGGCGGGTCGAGTCGAGGATGGCGGCAAACGACGAGGTGACGACGACGCGCTTGACGTCGGTGCCGTGGTCCTTGATGGAGCGGAGCACGGAGCGGGTGCCGTTGACGGCGGGCTGGATGAGTTTTCCGAGCGGGTCGCCGTCGATGTTGAAGTGGAAGGGGGAGGCGGTGTGGAGGACGCCGTCGACGCCCTTGACGGCCTCGTCAAACACGCCGGGCTGCGCAGAGGGGGAAAAGGGCCAAAGGGCGGAAGGGTCAGGCGTCTGTCTGACTGTCTCATCTCGACGTTGCCCGGACGAGGGCGGGCGGTTGGGCGCCGGCTCACCTTTTCGAGGTCCTCTGCAATGACAAACGAGAACTTGTCGCCGAAGCGTTGGAAGAGGGCGGCGAGGTACTCTCCCTTTTCCTGGGAGCGGACGGTGCCCCTGACGCGGTGGCCGCGCTCGAGGAGCTGGTGGCAGCACCACACGGCGATGAAGCCGGATGCGCCCGTGACGAGGACGTGCGAGTCGGGACCGATGGCGGGCATGGTGATTTGGCGGCAGATAGCGGTGCGGGTGTGGACGAGGGTGAGTGGGGGGAGAAGCAGAGGCGATGGTGATGGTGATGGTGTCGGTGGTGGAAGGGGGGGAGGGACGGAGGGTGGACCAAGGAAGGCCTCCCCCTCGCCCCGCTCGTCCCGCTCGCCCCCCACGTCTGTCGCTGGCGGCCATCGCGGCAAGGAAGAGGGATCGAAGCTGGTCAAGGCGCAGCGCAGCGGCTTTTCCCCGCAAAGCCGGCGCAGCGGCCCAGACCAACAGATCAGATCCGATCGAAGCCAACAAACTGACGACGTCCGCAACCCACCGCTAAACGCCGATGTGGAGGCGATGCACGGACCTAGCCTGGCCTGGCCTGACCTGACCTGACGGAGCACCCGATGCGTGCCGCCGCGCTGCTTCCCGATTGAGCGGATCCCGCCGAGCATGCCGATCTCATGGAATGCGGCGCCGCAGGCAGGCGGGCGCGGCGATGATGCATGCAACTCTTAGCTTCTGTGCCCGCGCGGCGATAGGCGCTCGTCGAGGCCTTGGTGACCCGTACGTGAGGCTGGCGCGGGCAAGCTCCGAAAGCGGCGTTCGGATGTCCGAAGCGGCTTGGGGCGCTAGCCTCTCGCTTGGTGCCCTTTCTGCCCTTGGTTGGTTGGTTGCTTGGCCCCCCCGACCCCCTAGGCCTCGCGTTCAAGCAAAGCTCCCTCGGGATCTTCGGCCCGAGCAGAGTTCGTTGGGTGCGCGGCGTGCCTAGGTTGGCAACTCTTATGCTGCATGGCAGATGGCGCTCCAAGCTGGTTTTGGGTCGTCAGAGGTAGGCGCCCGGCGTCCCATGTCAACCAGCGCCAGCAGCAGCAGCAGCAGCGGCACCAACCCCTCTCTGGCCGCTACCGCCGGAGCTAAAGATCCGGAGCATCATCGATATCCTCTTGGGTCCCCGCTTGCGTACGTACACAAGAATAACTCAGCAGGCAGGGGAGCTCAGCCCGAGAGCCATTCCCCCCTGTCCTTGTTCTTCTCATTGTGCCGCAGACCCTCCAACGGAAGGGTTTGCAGGCTTGCGGGCTGGCTCGCTCGTCGATCGACTGCCTACCTAGAAGCTGCTTTCTCAGACCAGACTGAGCGATCCCATAAGAACCAAGGCTCGTCAGCCATCGACGCCGCCTCGGCTCATCCTCCCTCCATTCGAGACGGCCATCACTGCAGCTCCTCCTCCTCCTCCTCCTCACTACCACTGTCTGACCGCTGCCCGCCATCACTGCCCGACGACAGCGACCGCCCTCGTCGTTCGCTCCTCTGCGCTCCTCTGCGCTCCTCGGCGCTCTCCTCGGCGCTCCTCGGCGCTCCTCGTCCCGTCCGTGACCCGCCCACCTCGTCACGACCCTCCCTCGCACACCTCGAGCCGCAATGTCCGAGTCCCCACACCCGTTCCCGCGCCCCGCTTCGATCTCGAGCCACCCGGCCCGGAGATCTTCGCTCCCCGGCGGTGCAACGAGCATCGTCCCCACCCGACAGATGTCCAGAGACGCGTCCGACTCGACGCACGCCCTCAGCAGCGCGCACCAGCATCAACCGTTCCACCAAGGTCCACAGCATCAGGGCCGCGGCGCCGCTCCGCCCTTTCAGCATCCGGCGCACAGCGACGCACACGACAGCGGCAAGGACATTGAATCTGCAGCGGGGCACAATGAAAAGCACCTCGCCCACGACGACGACGACAACGACAAAGACGGCCAACGAGACGCCGCCCCTCGTCCGCGGCCGGCGAGCGAAGGGTTCTGGTCGCCCCGCCTCAAGGCGCAGCGCAAGCTCTACCTCATCACCATGCTGCGCGTCACGGTCGCCGTCAGCGTCGTCATCTGGGGCATCGTCTCGATCTTCTGGGGCAGCGTGTGGAAGCAGACCGACCTCTCCCCGCACCTCAACGGCTGGATCGTCAACCGCGACGCCGGCAACACGATTGGCGACTCGATCCAGTCGGCGCTGCTCGAGGCCAACGCCGGGCCCAAGCCCCACGTCACCTGGTCCGTCGTCGACCCGGCGCGCTACCCGACCACGGCCGACCTCGACTACCAGGTCATCCGCCAGCTCTCGACCTACATTGTCGTCGAGGTGCAGGCCAACTCGACCCAGCGCCTCGCCGCCGCCCGCCAGGCCGGAGACGCCAGCTGGGACCCGAGCTCGGTCGTCAGCCTCATCTACGCCTCGGGACGCAACAACATGGTCGTACCTTCGCTCGTCTTTTCCCCGGCCCAGCAGGTCGTGCAGCGCGCCATCACCCGCCTCTCTTCGCAGCTCGCCGCCGACTTTTTCCGCGCGCCGCCACCCAACGTCGCCGCCCTGGTCGCCGCCGCGCCCCAGACGGTCGCCTCGCCCATCGTCGCCGTGCCGCGCGACCTGCGCCGCTTTGACCAGCCCGTCGCCACGGCCGTCCTGCTCGTGGGCCTGGTGCTGCTCCTCATCATGGCCTTTCTCTCGACCATGGCCAACTTTGGCGCCCGCCAGCCCCTCCAGCCCTTCCTGGCCTACCGCTCCCTCGTGGCGATGCGCATCCTGGTGCCGCTGCTGAGCTACTTCTTCATCTCGCTCATGATGACGACGCTCAACGTCGCCTTCCAGCTGCCCTACGGCCGCGCCCTCTCGTCGTACGGCGCCGGGTTCATGACGTGGTGGGCCGTCACCTTTGTCGGCCTCGCCGTCCTCGGCCTCGCCACCGAGTGCTTCATCTCGCTCGTCGGCCCGCAGTTTATCGGCTTCTGCCTCGTCTTCTTCATCGTCATCAACGTCTCGACCGCCAGCCTGCCCATCGAGGTGTCGCCCAGCTTCTACCGCTACGGCTACGCCATGCCCTTCTACAACCTCCGGTCCATCTACAACATCATCATCTTTGACGTCGGCAAGACGCAGACCATCGCAAAGTACACGGGCATCCTCCTCGCCTGGCTCGTCGTCATCCTCGCCACCTTCCCCATCTGGATCTGGCTCGAGACCAGGAGGGCCGCCAAGGCCAGGAGCGCCCAGGCCAACAAGGGCGCCGGTCCCGGCGGTCCCCAAGGCGGGCCGCCCGGCGGACCGCGTGCGTAGTCGAGCTCGAGCGGCGGTGCCGGCTGGCTCCGTCCCGACCTTTCTCGCGCACCCTTGCTCTCTGCTCGCCCACCTGCATCGCTCGTTTCCCCGCACCCATAGACTTTCCGCTCTGCATCCTGTCGTTTGCCCGCCGTAGCCATGTATACCCCCGCCTGCACACCATCTCGCCATCAGTCGAGCAACGAAATGCAGAAGAGACAAACGAAAAGGTCCCTTCGATCCGGCCTGCATACGATGCATGAGCGTACCACGACCGCCGACCGTCTAGAGCTTGGCAGACACGCTGGCCTCCTTACCGACCTGGATCCGCGCCGCCTCGAACCTCGACGCCCTGCCGCGCCACTTTTCCTCCTCGTCGCTCCTCTCCTTTTCGACGTCGCGCTCGTCGGCCGGCGTCCAGAGGCGGTACTCGTCGCCCGCCGTGTCGAGGGGCCGCCCGCGGATGTAGGCGAGGAAGAGGAGCCAGATGGTCTCTTCGCGCCTCAGCCGCGGTGCGCTGTCGGCGTCCGAAGAAGACGAGGCCTTGGGCGCGTAGCCCTCGCCGTGCTCGACGGGCGTCGACTCTGACGCCTTGCTCTTGGTGAACGCGTTGACGTGGCCGCAGACCGGCCAGCGCGGGGATCGTTTGGCCGGATCGACCCAGAGCGATCGCTTCAGGCCGTCGCTGTGGTTGAGCATCGACATGTACCGCTCCATCATCAGCCTGGAAGGGCGGTGGGAAGGCGGAGGAAGAGGGAACGAGCGAGCGGGGGACGGGGCTGCGGCGTCAGTAGTCGTGTACGTCGCCTTTCGACCGTGTCGATGAAAGGACGTCAGGCAGGTGGGCGGGCTGCGGGAGCAAGCGAGCAGGGCGGGCGGACTCAACTTGTCGATGCGGTCATCATCCTCGAAGCCGACATAGAGGAGCTCGACGCCGACCAGGCTCCTCGCCAGGTCGAGGTTCTCGCGCCGGTTAAAGGCAAAGTGCGGGTGAAAGTACCAGTCCATCCACTCCCTCCCGGGTCCGTAGGGCAGGTCGTATCCGAGGCCGAGGTTGGATGCGCGAAAGATGCTGTCCTCGATAAGGGGCTTGAGGACGAGCTCGGTGAAGCCAAACTCAGCCTCCTGCGGGTCCCGCTGGTTCTCGTAGTAGGCGTTCCCGCCGCACACGTTGAGCATGCGCTTGACCTTGGCGACGGGCCCGTAGACGTGCGAGCGCGGCAGCACGACCATCAGGTGGCCGCCGAGGCTGTGCCCGACGACGGTGAGGTCGACCGCGGGGTAGGTCGAGTAGGCGCGCTCGACGATCGAGGCCAAGTCCTGGCGGCACCACGTCTCGGTGAGGTCGACTCCGCGCGGGCACTCGTGCAGCGCCTCTTCGAGGTAGTCTTGGTCCTCGGCCAGCCGCCTTGCGTCCCAGTGCGGCGGGAACGAGGCGCCGCTGTACCGGTAGTCGAACGTGTAGGCGGCCAGCCCCTGGGTCGAAAGGAAGGCGGCGTAGTGGTGGTAGAACCTCGCCTGGACGCCCGTGGCGTTGGAAAAGACGACGGTGCCCACCACGTCCGACGCCTTGCGTGGCTGGAACAGCGTCAGGGCCAGCGGGAAGCCGTCGGCGGTGTGGTGCCGCGTGGCGATGCGCTCCGTCTCGATGGGCATGTCTGTTGACGTTACCCTATTCTCTGCGTGGACCTCGAGGCTGCTGTGTCGAGCGCGGGCGTGGGGTGGTATAGTCTATGATGGTAGGCTAGGCAAGCCGGCGAGCCGTGGTAGTCTGGGGGGCTGGAGAAGAGGCCGCTCTTGTAGGGTACCAGCAGTCGGAGGCAGCTGGCAGCAGTGGGTAGCAATGGCGGCCGTGGCAAGCAGTGGCAGCAGTTGGCAGTATCCGGCAGCAGTTGAAAGCAATCAGGAGACGGACGAGGGTAGAGACAGTAGTAGGTGGTGGTGAGCGAGACAAGCGGCAGGCGGTGACGGCGATGGGTCAGTCTCTATGCTGGCATTTGGCAAGGAGGAGATCAAGGCCCCAGTCAGCCCGCCAGGTGGGGTCCGGTCGACGGCAAGCGGGGTTCCCGAGCAAGCGAGCAGGCGAGCAGGCAAGCGGGCAAGGATGGTGGTGGTGTGGGGCTTGCAGCAGTCGAGAAAGCGAGGTAGCGACCCCGCACCAGACCCGCTTTCACCGGCCCGCCGCTGCGCCGAAAGCCGAGCGGCCCTTTGTCGACTGAGCGCGGATCCGAAGAGGCGCTGCGAGGGCGAGGGGCGGCCGCCTGCTCTACGCGATGGCAGGCGGGTCGCGTACCAGGTGCCTGCCTGGCCAGGCCTGGCGATCCCATCGTGACCGGGCGGATGACTCGGCGAGGAGCTCATTCCGCCTCGGTGATCAAGGCTCGCGCTCGCAGCTCGAGGCGGAGCGCGCGGTCTGACTGCCCGGCGTTACGGCGAGCTCGGAGCTGCGGGGCTAACCTGGCCTTCCAGGCTTGCTAACATCGAGCGAGGCTGCCGGCGTTGCGTTGCGCGGCGCGCCGGACCTGCATCATCGTCGATGCCAGGCAGGACAAGGGCCGGGCACGGGCAGCGAGATCGGTGCGCACAGAGGCCGAGGCTAGGCTAGCACTCTATCTGATAACGAAATACCGGGCGATGGGAGGACGCGTCGCGACCGGTCAGAGGCGTGGCTGGCCTGGCTGCTCGAGACTCGAGGTCGATCTCGATGATGTGGGCGAGCAGACCCAACGCGTCGACGCGCCGACCAAGGCGAGGTACGGTCAGATCAGATCAAGCCTAGGCTGCAGCTGGTGAGCTCACATGCCGGCTGGCATGCGCAACGGCCTGACCGACCGACCGACTGACCGACGCGCTGGCATGGAGGCGGCAGCGCTGGTTGGCGCTCGTCGCCCGTGGTTTGCGTCACGCCGCCGAGGCCTCGAAAAAGGTGGGCAGCCAGCTTACGGCAGCCCTGCGCCTGCGCCTGCGCTGCCAGAAAAGTCCAGCCTGGCTCTCTGCGCGTGGGCAGGCCAGGCCAGGCCCCGTCGCGTTGAATCAGCCCAAATTCAATTTTGGCCGCCGCGACGCGCTCCCTTGGACCCGCCAATTTCGACTTTGGCCCGCCGACCCTCCTGACAGGCTAGAGGCTGGCTGGCTGATCGACGCGCGCCCAGGCAGGCAGGCAGCCGGCTGGACGGGCAGACGAGCCAACAGAGCAGAGGCCGCAGAAAAATCCCGAGGCGGCCTGGCGGGCGGTGGGACAGACGACGCGCCTCGGCCTCGCCTCTTGCCTCTTGCCTCTTGCCTCTTGCCTCTTGCCTCTGGCCTCTCGCCGCCCCCTTCCTTCCCGACCGACGACCACCACCGCGTCTCCTCTCGCCTCAGTCGCATCGCACGCAGAAAAAGGTACTTAACGCGACCCCCCTTGCGTGGCTGCCTCCCTCCCCCTTCGACCACCACCATCATCTCTCTTCACCATCGCATCTGGCTCCTCCATTCCCTACTACCCTCGTACCCCTTGACACCACTGCCATAGCGCTCTAGCCAGTCGGCTCGCCACCCACCACCACCTCTTCGCCCTCCCTCGCCGCCGCTGTCGCCGTCGCCGTTGCACCCCCCGCACACATCCCTGCCCTCGCGCACCCACCTCGACCGACCGACCGACACAATGTCTGCCGTCGCCGCACACAACCTCGAGACGCCATCCAAGAAGGTCGCCGCCGGCCTCGCCGGCATGGACTTCAACGCCAGCCCCACAAAGAAGAACAGCGCCGCCAAGCTCAACCTTGACGACGACTTCTCCGAGCCCAACTTCCTCTCCAAGGGCGCCGACAAGAAGGACGCCGCCGCACCTGCGAAAGCGACCGGCGCTGCCGCCGACGACGAGGAGCTCCGCTCCAAGTTTGTCGGCGACGTCGACCTGCCCGAGGAGGAGGAGCCCCTCCTCGTCGAGAGCTCCCGCCGCTTCGTCCTCTTCCCCATCCGATACCACGAGGTGAGTAGCACGGTCTGATCACGTTGGCTGGCGCTCTCTACGCGACGCGATCGTCTCCTCCCGCATCAGCCGCTGACCCTGCGACACGGCCCCCTCCCCCTCCCCACTTTCCTCACCCATCCATCCATGCATCCGATCATCCGCCGCCGCCATCCGCCACTCCCGCAGATCTGGCAGATGTACAAGAAGGCCGAGGCGTCGTTCTGGACCGCCGAGGAGATTGACCTGTCCAAGGACCTCCACGACTGGGACAACAAGCTCAACGACAACGAGCGCCACTTTATCAGCCACGTCCTCGCCTTCTTCGCCGCCTCGGACGGCATCGTCAACGAGAACCTCGTGGAGCGGTTCAGCTCCGAGGTGCAGGCGGCCGAGGCGCGCTGCTTCTACGGCTTCCAGATCATGATGGAGAACATCCACTCCGAGACCTACTCGCTGCTCATCGACACGTACATCCGCGACCCAGAGCAGCGCGAGTTCCTCTTTGACGCCATCGAGACGATCCCCGTGGTCAAGCAAAAGGCCGACTGGGCGCTGCGGTGGATCAGCGACAAGCGGGCCACGTTTGCCGAGCGCCTGATTGCGTTTGCCGCCGTCGAGGGCATCTTCTTTTCCGGATCCTTTGCGTCGATCTTCTGGCTCAAGAAGCGCGGCCTGATGCCCGGCCTCACGTTCTCCAACGAGCTCATCAGCCGCGACGAGGGCCTGCACACCGACTTTGCCTGCCTCCTCTTTAGCCACCTCAAGAAGCGGGCGCACCCGGACACGGTGCTGCGCATCATTACCGAGGCCGTCGGCATCGAGCAGAGCTTCCTCACCGACGCGCTGCCCGTGTCGCTGATTGGCATGAACGCCAAGCTCATGTGCCAGTACATTGAGTACGTCGCCGACCGCCTCTTGGTCGCGCTCGGCAACGACAAGCACTACAACTCGAGCAACCCGTTCGACTTTATGGAGAACATTTCGCTCCAGGGCAAGAGCAACTTTTTCGAGCGCAAGGTGTCCGAGTACGCCAAGGCGGGCGTGGCGCGCAAGGAGGCCGAGGACGACGGCGACGGCACGCAGAAGGACGTCCACTCGTTTTCGCTCGAGGAGGACTTCTGATGGCTTCCCCTGCCTCTCGTCGCCGTCGCCTGCATTGCTCCTTGCCACCCCACCGCTCGCCTTCCTTGGCCCTCGTCGCTCTCGCTCTCGTTCTATCCGTGTACCAACATCGACCCTTGTTTTTCCCCCTGGGTGCCTCCCTCGGGCCTCTCTCGTAGCATCTTCCATCCCCACGATCCCCCCCCCATCCATGGCCTCTCTGGATCATCCCCCCTTCCCCGCTCCTCCTATATAGCCCGTTTCAGCCCGCACCCACCCACCTCTCTATCTCGCCCTGTGCCCGCGTGGCCGCTGGGTGCCTGCATGTACAATAGCCTGCTCATGTCTCTTTCGCGCCCTCTGCCATTTGACCGTGCGCTGCCTCTACGGCACCACCACCACCACCACCACCAGCGCCAGCGCCAGCGCCAGTACCGCTTGCCAGCATGTTTGAACGGCGGCGCCTTTGCCCAGACGCGCGCCGTGTCGCACGAGGGGTAGCGGGGATAGGGGCGATGTCGACTTGCCAGGCGCCAGCGAATGGGAGGGGTCGACGGGGTCACAGAGTCAGGGCATCGACTCAAAGAGGGGCCGGGCTGGAGGATGGCTGGTGGCCGAGCGTTGACGAGGGACCCCTGGCGTGTTTTTGGGGCCCTCGCGCGAGGCGAGGCGTGGCCAGGCAGCTTACACCAGCGCTGCCAGGCTCAGCCCCGGCGGAGATGGCGTGCCCAGGCTCTGCTAGGCTAGGGAGCTGGTCCATAGCCTCCAGGCCAGGCCTGAAAGGAGGGGACCCTGAACACCTTGGCCCTAGCCTGCTGCTGTTGCTCCACACGCACGCACGCACGCTCGCTCGCATGCACCCAAGCGCGCGCAAGAGGCTGGCCTGGCCTGGCCTGGCCTGCCCAGCCCAACTCGGCCAAGGCTCTGCTGGGGCGGCACCTTGACTCGGACCCCACTTGCGCAGCCTGAACCCCTAGGCTAGCCCTGTTGGAGGAGTACAGTAGTTGGACCCTCGCCGCTGCCCAACGCCACCACCCACGACCCACCATCCGCTGCTCCACCATCATTGCCACCACCACCAAGGCCACTTTCCTAGCCCCGTACTGTCCTCGCTGCCAGGCCGGCCGTCGCATCCAGTCCGCCGCCTGCTCCGTCACTCATCGCCCTCGTCCAACGACGGCTGGACCCTCGAGTGCGCCCCTTTGTCTTTCTCGCTCCAGCGCCGTCTCCCTCCCTGCCTCGATCCGCGCACGACGGCCTAGCCTCAACGGCGAAATCACGTCCGACACGTGCTACATTACGACCCACCAACATCCACCTGCGCATCGTATTGCCTCTGAGCCACACCACCCTCAGCTCGATCCGCCATCTTTTGCGCTGCTGCGGTCTCCGCATCGTCGTCGACACCGCTCTCGGTGTACCCGCACCCGGCACTCGACGGCACGGCCAGACCCACAGCAGCAGCACGCTCGTCAGACTCTCCGCCGTTCCCGTCCCTGCTCGCGCTTCCCGACACACCCTTTGGCTTCGCCCGTCGCTCGAGGGCGCATCCTCCCGAGTGCGACTCGGGCCGAACGCTGTCTCGCCGCACCGCTTCCTCGTACGGACATTGCTTCCGATCTCCAAAGTCGCTCAACCGACCCAGGTCGCGCGATCGCCAAGCAAGCGATCTCCTATCCATCTGCCGCCTCGGCTGGGCCTCGCTGGTAGCACCCATCGCTCTCCCGCCTGCCTGTCTCCCCCGCCCGCGCGCGATCCCCCGCAGTCGTCCTCGGTGTCCCAGCAGTTGCGTGTCAAATGTCCAGGAACGCCGTGCGCGATGATGCTCGAATCGGAGACTTTATCCTCAGCGGCGAGATTGGAAAAGGCTCGTTTGCCGTCGTGCACAAGGGCTACCGCCAGGTGAGTAGCGCGCACGGCGCAGTCCTCCGTCTCTTCCCCCTCCCTCCCCCTCTCTCTCGCACGCGCGGCTGGCGAGGGGCCGCGTTCAGCGGCCGTGTTGGAGCTCCCACTGACCGCGGTTCGGCTGCGTTTCTCCACGGTACCACAGCAAACGAGGGAGCCGGTGGCCATCAAGATTGTCACGCGCAAGAAGCTGACGACCAAGCTGCTCGAAAACCTTGAGGGCGAGATCGCCATCCTAAAGGCCATCAACCACCCCAACATTGTCGAGCTCAAGGAATGCCTGGTGCGTGGCCGCGCCGACGCTGCCAGAGGCCAACGCTACGACCTGAATTGCGTGCTTGACTGACACAGCTTCCTCCGTTGGCCCCCTCTTCTGCTTCCCGCTCCTCCGCAGAAAACCGACGCTCACATCTACCTGGTGATGGCCTTCTGCTCGGCGGGCGATCTGTCGCAGTACATCAAGAAGCGCTATGATATCCACCTGCTCGGCGAGCACGACGGCAACGGTAGCAGCGGCAGCGGCAGCGGCGCTGGCACGACCAAGGCAGCTGTCGTCAAGAAGGCACCCTCGCCCTACCCGCACCCCGAGGACGGCGGCCTCAACGAGACCATCGTGCGCTCCATCCTCACCCAGCTCGCCGGCGCGCTGCAGTTTATGCGCGGCAGGGACATTGTGCATCGAGATATCAAGCCCCAGGTGCGTTGCTCAGGACGTCGGTGCCGAGACGGCCCGGTACCATGGCTTCGATCGCAAGGGTGCTGGCAAGAATGCTGACTCTCGGCTCCGTTGCATGTCTTCCACGCGGCCTTGACCACTCTAGAACCTCTTGTTGCAGCCGCCGGAGCAATCTTTCATCGATCTCGGCAACCCGAAAGAGATCCCGCAGGTCAAGGTGGCCGACTTTGGCTTCGCGCGCCACCTCGGCAGCAACGTGCTCGCCGAGACGCTGTGTGGCTCGCCGCTCTACATGGCGCCCGAGATTCTGCGCTACGAAAAGTACGACGCCAAGGCGGATCTCTGGTCCGTCGGCGCGGTGCTGTTCGAGATGAGCGTGGGCAAGCCGCCGTACAAGGCCAACAACCACGTCGAGCTGCTGCGCAGGATCGAAAAGGGCGAGGACCGGATCAAGTTCCCCGACGAGAGGTCGGCCGGGTCGCTCGCCCGGGAAGCCGTGCGCAGGCAGGAGGCCGGCGAGCCGCCGCTGCCGCCGCCCCACCCGGTCTCGGGCGACATCAAGACGCTCATCCGCCAGCTGCTCCGCCAACGGCCCGTCGAGCGCATGAGCTTCGAAGACTTCTTCCACAGCCCCGTCATCGAGGACTACAAGGCCCAGGTCCTGGCCAACGTGCCGACAGCCAGGCCAGTGCCATCGAACGCGGGCGCGGTCGGTGTCAAGCAGATCGAGGCGCACACCGCGGCCATCGACAGCAACGCGACGGCGGCATCCTCGGCGCCAGCGGCCGATTCAGCGGGCCTGCAGCGGCGAGGCTCAGGGACGCAGGGCACGCATAGCCGCAGCAGCAGCACGAGGGAACGGGAGGCCGCCCTGCAGCCGGTACGGAACGATTCGACGCCCCTCACAGGCTCACCCAAGCCCTCTGCGGCTGCTGTGCCGCGGTCATTCACCAGCAAGTACGTCGTCGGCGATGTCGGACTGCCGACACCCACGGCGGCGACGACAACGACGACGACGACCAAGACGATGACGCAGGGGGCCGAGCGGCGAGACAATCAGCGGTCTGCATCATCTTCATCGAGGGACGGAGTTCGCAGCAGCAACTCTGCCTCCAACACCGCCGGCGCGACACGCCGATCTGGCGGCGACGAGGAGGCGGCACAGGCATCTCAACAGCCCTATGCGAGGTCGCCTGACGAGATCGGGACGGCCGTCGACTCTGGCCATCTCGACGAAGGCAAGGGCGAGGACAGCTTCCTGGGGAAAGAGTACGTCATGGTCGAGAAGCGCAACGTCGAGGTCAATGCGCTGGCCGACGAGCTGGCCGCTTCGCCCCTCCAGCCGCAATCGGGCATGGCCCGTCGACCCTCTCGGCTGAGCCGCCTCAGCTCTGGCGCCGCTGCCGCTGCTGCCGTCGCCAGCAATGTCGGTCCGACGGGCGAGGGCAGTGCCACGCGGCTAAGCTCGACCCCACCTGGAGGTGTGTGGCCGTCGTCGGCACCCTTTGCGCTGCCACCGGGCGCCCGACCCTCGTCGTTCCCGCGCCGCACCAGCCTCACCTCGAGCGGCTCGCCGTCGCCACGCCTGACAACGCAGCCCATGCCTACCATCGATGGCAGCAGCGGTGGCGCCGGAACCACCGTGGCGCGGCGCGAGAGCTCGGGCGCGCCGGCGGCAGAGGATCCGGCGCCGTCCAACGCGGCTGGGCAGCGGCCGATCTACTCGGCGTCGCCGTCGTCGTCGAGCAGCCCGTCGAGCGCGCTGGCGCGGGCCATCAGCATGGCCAGCCTGCGCCTGTTTGGCGTGCCATCTGGCATGTCGCTGCGGGGCGCCGCGGCGCTGGTGCGCAGTCGGAGCAACCGGAGGGTCTCGTACCTGCGCTACGGCGAGCCCAGCGCCGACGGCGCCGAGGCGGGCCTCCTCGTCACGCTCGAGGACCTGGGTCAGAAGTCGTTTGTGCTCTCGGAATTCGCCGACTCGAAGCTTGCTGCTTTCTTCCCGGCAGGCCCGCACCAGTCGACGCAGGAGCTCGACTCTTCGTCGATGATGCAGCACGGCGCCGGCGGTGGCTCGCCTGGCCGGGCCAGCAGCTTTGCGGGCGGCAACGGCAGCGGCAGCCGCGGCGGCCGGCGGACCAGCTCGGCGTCGTCGATCTCGTCGGCGTTTGACCCGACAGCGGCAGAGACGGCGGCGGCCGAGGCGCTGGTGCTGTACGTCAAGTCGCTCTCGTTTCTGCAGCGGGGCATCAACGCGACCAAGGCGTTCCTCGAGGCGCGATCGCGACCCGGCTCGCCCGCCGCGCCGAGCGTCGAGCTCAACGAGATTGTGCAGTGGCTGCGCGCTCGGTTCAACGAGGGCTACGACAAGGCCGACTTTGCGCGGTCCAAGTGCGGCGAGATTCCCGAGAGCGCGCAGCACGTCGACCGGCTGATTTTCGACAAGGCGCTCGAGGTGGCGCGGGCGGCGGCGCTCGACGAGCTGGAAAACAACCAGCAGGGCAGCGGGTGGGACGCCAACCACTGCCTGCTGGCCTACGAGACGGCGAGCTCGATGCTCATGGCGCTCCTCGACCCGGGCGAGGAAGGCATGGGCCTCAGCGACGGCAGCATCGCCACGATTGAAAAGTTTGTCAAGAGCATCAACAAGCGCCTCGTGGCGCTGCAGACCAAGTTTGGCGGCGGCGGCGGTGGCGAGGCGTCGTCGGCGAGCATCGCCACGAGCCGGGTTCCGTCGCCTGCGGGCATTGTCGCCGGGGCCGGCTCGGTCTCTCCGTCCTCTGGCGGCAGCAGGGCGGCTGCCAACCCCGCGTCGCACTGAGTCGATCGTGGCTGCCATCGCGGTGGCGGTGGTGGCGGGGGTGGGTTTCGAGGACGTAGATGGCAGGGGGTGGTGCCATCGTGCGTCGTGGTCTTCGACAGTATTGTCCTGGCCTTTGTCCGTCTGTCCGTGTGTACGTCTCCTGTCTGTCTGTCTATTCCGGCCGCTCTCTCCTCTCCCGTCGTCGCCTTCGCTATCGTCATCATGTTCCTCGTATCACGCTAGTCTTTCCCGCCCCTCTTACCCTCGGTCCTGTACCTCCCATCCGCGCATCCTCTTCAGGTCACATGTCAATCATCCCGCTGTAGCTCGGAAGGGAGAGTCTGGCGTGATGTTCCGCTAGACTCGACGAGGGGTCGGTCCGAGGGTCCGGTGCGAAGAGAAAGGGGTGTGTGGTTGCCGAACGAGCTGGTCTTGACGGTAATGGGATGGGCTGGAATGGGAGAGTAATGTTACATTTTGCAGCGGGCAGCGTCGAGGGACGAAGAAGGGGGGAGCCGGAAGGAGGGGGAGAAGGGGGGCGCGCGCGCCCTAGAAGAGGGTATCTTCGTCGCGGAGGTACTCGCCCACGTCTGCCTGGTGGAAGACGATGATCGAGGTCGGGTCGAGTTTGCGCGTGTCGACTGTTGATCTTGCCGTCACGCCGAAGCCCTGCGAGGGAGGAGGATCGAGAAGGAGGGAGAGAGAGAGAGCGGGGAGGGCGCGGGGAGAGAGAGGCGGGGGGGGGGGAGGGAGTCAGAGCACTGCGGGGGAGGGAGGTGGCAGGCCGCAGGAAGAGAGGGGCAGGAGGAGACGAGGACTCACAAGGGGATTTCCGCTCATGCTGAGCACAACGACACCGGCATGTTCGGGTGTATCGTCGGTGATCCTGCCCAGGTGGGCCTTGACGACGTGGTTTCCGTAGAGAAAGGGGAGTTCGCCGTTGGGCTTGATCCACACCTTGTACCTGGCGTACTGGGCGACGAGGTCGAGGGCGGTGATGTGCAGCCTGAACTTGGCCGTCTTGCTAAACTTGCCGAGGCAGGTTCCGAGCGAGACGAGGTTGGGGCGCGCAATCGAGATGGCGAGGCGCATGTTGGCCTCGGAGACGTAGTAGACCTTGTCGCGGTGCAGGCGCAGCACGTGCGGGTCGTCGGGCCGGTCGATGAGGTGCACCAGGTTCTTGCCGATGTAGTTGGCCAGCTTCTCAAACACCGTCTTGGTCTCTTCCTCGGTCAGCGGCCGCATCTTGGGCGAAGCGAAGGCGAGGAGAGGTGTCGAGGACGACGAGGTCCGGGTTAAGGGGGGGTGGTGCAAGATGTGGTGGTGGTGGTGGTGGTGCTGCTGCTGGCGGTGGTCGAGTGGTAGCGGCTGCTGACGGTGGTACCGATTATTAGGCTGGACGAGTGCGGCACGGTCTGCGAGGTGGTGATGGTAGAATGGTCGTCGTCGTCGGCGGCGGCGGTCAAGAAGGCGGCAACAGAGGAGCAGGAGCAGGAGCAGGAGCAGGAGCAGGAGCAGGAGCAGGAGCAGGAGCCTGACGGCCCACGGCACGGCTTCCACACTTCTTCGCAGCTTCCAAAAAAATTGCGTGGGGCCGTGGGGCCACCAAGCAAGGTGGGCCCGCTCTAAAAAATCTCGCAGCCCTGAAATTCAAGTGCCGTTGGTGCGGCTGGCTTGTATTCTGAACCCTGCAGGTGGGCCGCGCCGCTGCTAATGCCTCACACCCTGGCTTTCAATTGAAAATTTGCCGGCTGCGAAGAAAGGAAAAAAAAAAGTCAGAGAGGGAGGGGCTGCAGGCCAGAGCGGCTGGCTGGCTGGCCTGGGCCTGGCTGGGTGTCGGCCTTGCTTGCTTGCTTGCTTGCTTGCTCCAATGGCCTCGGCCTCTGCTCTCTGCTCGCCACCATACACCGCCATCGAGCCCATCCCCCGGTCGCTCACTCGCTCACTCGCTCTGCTCCTGCTCCACCTCCCGACCTCGTCCCGGCATCACAGCATGGCTCGCTCCAGCGGACGCAGCGGCGCAGGCGGCCGAAAGACGGGCGCCAATCCCGCCACCGCCTCCTCGTCGTCCAAGAAGCGCGGCAGCAGCAACAACGACGCCGCCTTCAACACCGCACAGGCCACCAAGCGCCGCGACAGGAGCGCAGCGGCAGCAGCCGCAAAGGGTCCCACCGACATCGCAGACGTCTACGACTACGCAGTCGCCGCCACCGCCTCCGGCAGCGCATCGGGCAGCGCCAAAAAGAAGAAGGACAAGGGCGCCCGGATCGCACGCAGGGCCATGGCCGGCCTCGACGGCCAGGACGACGACGACATCCCGCAGACCTCCCGCTCAAAGGGCAAGCGGAGAGCCGACGACGCCGGCGAGGGTGGTGGCGACGACGATGACGACGACGACGAGGAGCTCGATAGCGACTCCGACGCCGGCCGGGGTCCCATCGGTCCAAAGGTCTTTGACTCGGACGACGAGCTCAACGCTGGCATCGAGGGCGAGGACGAGGAGATCGACAGCGACGAGGCCTTCGGCGAGAGCGACGAGGAAAAGTACGGCGACTTCAAGTTCCAGAGCGACGAGCGCAAAAGGTCCAAAGCTCCCTCCAAGAAGCGCGCATCCAGATCCAGCAGGGATGCCGAGTCGGGAGAGGAGGAAGACGAGGAGGAAGAGGAAGAGGACGAGGACGACGGCGACATGATGGACCTCAGCCGCATGCTCGAGTCTGGCTCCGACGACGATGGCAAAGACCATGGCAGCGACGGCGACGACGAGTCCATGGACGACGACGACGACGACGAAGAGGCGGATGACAAGCTTCGGAGGCACATTAATGCGCTCGCCGTCCAGTCCAGCGGCGCCAAGCGAGGGGCGGCGGGCTCCGACGACGAAGAGGGCAGCGGCGGCGACGACCACGACGCCCCCGCGGCCAAGCGGTCACGCAGGGTGCTCAGCGAGCGCACCGAGGCCGTACCCGAGGGCGAGTTTGCCACCACCGGCTCGTCGGGCGGCGCTGCGCTGCGCCTCGAGGACTTCCTCGACCCGCTCAGCGGCCAGGTCGACTTTGCCAACGTCCGCAAGAGCACAAAGGCGCTCGAGGTGCCCAAGTCGCAGCAGCGCAAGGCCCAGGTGGCCTCGCAGCGCGGCGGAGGCGCACTCACCGCGCCCCTGCCTGCCGTGCTGCAGGACAAGCTGGACCGGCAGGCGGCCTACAGCGTCACCAAGGACGAGGTGCAGGGCTGGGCGCCCACCATCAAGCAGATTCGCGAGGCCGACCACCTCTCGTTTCCGCTGCAGAAGCCCCAGACGACGCGGCCCTCGACGGCGGGGCTGGTGGCCAGCTTCCAGCCGGCCAACGAGCTCGAGTCCGAGATTGCCGGCATGCTCGAGATGGGCGGCATGACCGAGAAGCAGCTCGCCGAGCAGGAGGACCTCGCCATGAACCGCCTCGACCCCGAGGAGATCAAGGCGCGCCGGGCCGAGCTGCGGCGCATGCGCGACCTCATGTTCCGCGCCGAGCAGAAGGCCAAGCGCGTCAAGAAGATCAAGTCCAAGGCCTACCGCAAGGTGCACCGCAAGGAGCGCGAGCGCCTCCAGGCCAAGATGCGCGAGCTCGGCATGGGCCCCAACGGCGAGCAGCTCGACCTCGAGGACTCCGAGGGCGAGAACGAGGAGCGCCTGCGCGCCGAGCGCGACCGGGCCATGGAGCGCGCCACGCTCAAGCACAAGAACACGAGCAAGTGGGCCAAGCACGTCCTCGGCAACCGGCACGGCGCCGAGGGCAAGGAGGCCCGCGATGCCATCGAGGACCAGCTGCGCCGCGGCGAGCAGCTGCGCAGGCGCATCCAGGCCAGGGGGTCCGACGACGAGCGCAACAGCGACGCGTCCGACTACGACGACGACGACGACTACGACGAAGGCGACGACGACCATGCGATCCAGGCCAAGGCATTTGACGAGCTGGCCACGCTCGAGGCCAAGGAAGAGGCGAGGCGCGAGCGCGACGAGGCCGAGCTCGAGAGGGCGGGCGGAAAGAAGGGCGTCTACAACATGAAGTTTATGAAGGACGCCCGCGAGCGCCAGGCCAAGAACGTCCGCGGCATGGTCGACGACTTCAAGGAGGAGATGGCCGGCCTCGTCGGCGGCAGCGACGTCGAAGGCGAGGGTAGCGACGGCGATGGCCAAGGGCCCGGCGGCAACGGCAAAGCCGCCGCCACGTTGGTCGGCGGCAACCGAGGCAGGGCCATGTACGGCACCGGGCAGATCCAGACGGCTGCACCCACCGCCGGGCCGAGCGAGGTGGTCGACGAGACGGCTGCCGGTGCATCCGACGGCAAGAAGAAGAAGAAGGCCAACAAGTCAGGCGATGCCGCCGCTCTCGTCGAGATTGGCGGAGAGGCGACCAAGGCGTCGGCGCCGCCGTCCGGCCGGAAGGGTGGTCGTGGTCCGGGCATCTCCAACGGCGCCGCCTCGTCGGCCGCTACGGCGGCCTCGATCAACCCGTTCGCCAGCGACTCGACGCCGGACGCCGCCAACCCCTGGCTGGCTGCGGACGGCAAGAGCGGGAGCGGCGCGGTGTCGTCCAAGAAGAATGCCATCCTGGTTGGCAAGGGGAGCAACTCCGAGGCCAAGGCGGCGTCGCGGATGCGCAAGGACCGGGCGCGGGGCTGGGAGGCGACCGAGGCGCGGCGCGAGGACGAGGAGGTGGACATCGACCTCTCTGTGCGGCTCGACCAGGGCAACGACGACGACGACGACGACGACGACCGCGGCTCGGTCGACGAGCCCCGGCCCATCAACCCGTCTTCGCGCAACCCGTCGGCGTTCCAGCAGCGCGACCTGGTGTCGCAGGCGTTTGCGGGCGACGACGTGCAGACGGCGTTTACGGCGGAGAAGGCAGCGCTGATTGAGGCCGAGGCGCCCAAGGAGGTCGACACGACGCTGCCCGGCTGGGGCAGCTGGGGCGGCAAGGGGGTCAAGGCCAAGAAGAAGCGCAACGCCAGCAACGTCGTGACGCTGCCCGGGCTCGAGGCGTCGCAGCGGCGCGACGCGGGCATGGCGCACGTCGTCATCAACGAAAAGAAGGACAAGAAGGCCGAGGCGTTTCGGGTCAAGGACCTGCCGCGCCCCTTTACCAGCCGGGCGCAGTACGAGATGGCGATGCGCAACCCGCTCGGCCCCGAGTGGAACACGCGCATCGAGCACCAGCGCCTCAACATGCCCCGCGTCACCAAGAAGCTCGGCAAGGTCATCAAGCCCATCGGTGAGTTGATCCGGTCGACGGTGGTGGTGGCGGCAGAGGCGGGGCGCCCAGACTGGCGGGCCCAGCTTGCGATGTGGACGGACGGAGAGAGGGACGACGTAGGCTGACCATCCCTTCCTCCTCCTCCTCCTCCTCCTCCTCCTCCTCCCTGGCCCTGACCCGACTGAACGACTGATCGACCCGCCCGTCTGTTGCAGAGCGCAAGTTCTAACCGCTCGACATCCTCCGTTTTTCATGCATACATATCCGCCTGTCGTGATCCGATCGGACCTATCCTACTCCCCGCCCTCCTTTGTGGTACCCTCTGCGCACCTTCGCACGTATCGAGCCATCCGACCAGAGGTGGGAAGCGTAAGAACCCTGCTGGCTGGAGGGCTCCCCAGGCTGGAGGGTTGCGTGCGAGGTACAGAATGTGGCCGGCTGTGGGTCGGTGAGCCAGGGACGCACGGCTCCGGTGGTGGCGGTGGTTGGGCGAAAGGACCTTGCATGCGCTCCGCTCCTCATTGTTCCTTCTTTGGTCACTGGTCCTTGGCGGTCAGCCGCGCCAAGTCGTCATCACACGGAGGTGAGCGAGGTGAGGTCGTTATTGCAGCTGCCCCTGTGCCCGGGCGGCGCAGCGTGCACTTCGGTTCGTCCCACCAAGACCATGGTCGATTCGTCGCTCGTCGTTGGTATGGCGGCGACGACGGCGGTGAAGTGGTGGTGGTGATCAGCCTGCTGCGAAGAGTCAAGAGGATTCGGCTGGAGGCCGACTGCGAAATGGGGGGGCTGAGGGGCCGAAGGGGGCGGGCGAGGGACCGCATGGATCGCCTCGCTTGGCTTGGCCTGCCTCGCCTTGCCTACCCCGCCCGCGCCGCTTTGACGCCCGGTGAGCTGACGTGCATCCTGGCGTGCATCGCCTCGTCACACGCACCCAGCCGTCACGCTGTACCGACCGGAGGGTTGGCCCCTCGATTTTTCCAGCATCGTCGATTTTTCATGGGCGCCAAACGAGGCCCAGCCAGGCCAGGCCAGGCCAGGCTACGCCCGGACGAGATGACGGTCGGTCGGCGGTCGAGCCATGCATGATTTTCGCGGCCGGACGCACGCATGCTCTCGGTGCTCAATTGGAAAAAACTCGGCAGAGGCAGGAGCCTGGCAGGCCACAGGTTAGGGCGAAATTTGAATTGCCACCGCCCGCCTGCCCGCCTGTTTGGGGGCCTGCAGCGGTGGGCGGTGGGCGGTGGCTGGTGGGTGGCTTGGCTTCTGCGCTGCCCAGGCTGCAACCACCGACCAACCGCCGTCCCGCCCGGGGCAAAGGGCGACAACGGCCTGGGCCTGATGGCCTCCTGACTGGCGCTCGGCGCTTCCGTCGTCCCCACCATTACCACCACCACCACCATCAGCACCACCACCACCGACGACGATTTGAACGACCGACAGTGCGCAACCTCTTCGTCCCGCGCGTTCCGTCGTTTCGGCCCCTTCCGCCTGGCCTCCTTCCAGTCGTGCCACCTTCTTCCGCAGGCGTAGATCGTCGTGGCCTTCCGCACACCGCCATAGAAGCATCTACTTCCCGTCCCCGCGCAGCCCCGACGACTCGTACAAGCACCAGCGGCTCTCACACCGAGCATCGAAGGAGCAGGCTCTTTCCTCGCCACACCATCACCATCAACGTCAGCGCCCCATTTCGCCCCGCTCCGCTGCTATCGCACCTGTCGCATCGCATTCGCATCGCACCCTCGGCCCCGCCAACCTCCTAGACAACGCTGTTCTGGCTCCGCCTCTTGACCCGCCACCATGACCTCGCTCCCCTACCGCGCCAAGGACGGCGACCCGGCAGAGATCCCGCTCGACAGCCTCTCGCCCTCGCGCCACGTGCCCCTCGACCGCGAACGCAACGCCAGCCAGGCCTCGTCGCTCGGCGGCCCCCCGCCTCCCCACCACGTCCACGCCCACGACTTCAACGACGACCACTACTTCGCCGGCCTCGACCCGGGCAACCAGGCCGCCTACGTCGACACGGCCCACTCGCAGCAACACAACCCTGCCGACACGTCGAGCGCCAGCGGCAGCGGTTCCTCGCAGCACCAGCAGCACCAGCAGCAGCAGTCTGGCTGGGGCCAGTACGACACCGTCGTCGACCGCAGCCGCGATGAAAAGTCCGGCCTGCACTTCAGCGAGGGCACCCGCGGCGATGCCTTCCAGCCCCCGCAGGCCCCCTTCTCCCAGCGCGACAACTACGGCGGCCACAGCCGGGCCAGCTCCATTGCCAGCACCGCCGACGACTCCGACGACTTTGACTGGGACACTTCGAGCGACGAGGACGAGGAGCGCGACAAGGGCGACAGTTCGGGCAAGATTGTGCGCGCCCGCCGCGGCCGCAAGCTCTATCTCGCCTGCCTGCGCCTCGCCCGCCCCGTCCGCCTCTTCCTCATCGGCCTCATCGGCACCGCCATCCTCCTGACCCCCTTCATCGTCATGCTCACCACCTACAAGGGAAACCCGGCGCGCGGACAGGTCGAGGTGTGGAGCATCTGGCTCGCCATCATCTGGGCCGCGGCGTGTGGCACCTTCCTCGTCATCGACTGGGTCCCCGCGCTGCTGATGCGCATCGTCATCGCCGTCTACGGCAAGGCGCCCGAGGTGTCCAAGACGTACATCGAGGCGTTCATGGCCACCACCCTCTACCTCAAGCTCGTCCTCTGCGTCGCCTGGGCCTGGATCAGCCTCGGCGGCGTCGTTGCCATCGAGTTCAACGGCTCCGACCGCCCGCCCTACTTCAAGTACGTCTTCCTCGTCCTCCGCGCCCTGTTCGCTTCCACCATCATCCTGCTGGCCGAGAAGCTGGGCCTGCAGATCATCGCCATCGGCTTCCACAAGACGGCGGTCAAGGACCGGCTGGTGAGCAACCAGATGGCGCTGCGGGCGCTCGACAAGCTCCACGAGTCAAAGTACCTCCAGTCGCGCCCCAACAAGCGCGCCACGGCGTCGGCGTGGCAGAGCACCTTCAACATGCGTTCCAGGCCGGGCACGCCCGCCGGCATGCCGAGCGGCGGCCCGCACAGCCGCAAGGCGTCGCGCGACAACCTGGGCGGATACTTTGCGCCGGCCAACCAGGCCGACGATGGCGTCGACGGCCACGAGAAGAGCCAACACCACTCGCACCACCACCACCACCACCGCCACCCGTCGTCGCACCTGGCCAGCAACGGCGCCAATACGGCCGACGGCTCGCCGCTGACGGACCACGAGAAGCGCAGGCGCGAGCGCAAGGCCAACTTTGGCACCCAGATCTCGGACGCCATCGCCAACGCCACGATGAAGGGCGGCAAGCTGTACAAGGGCCCCTCGTACGGCTCGCAGCGCTCGGCGCGCAAGCTGGCCAAGCTCCTCTTCACCAACCTGTCGGACCACAAGTCGACGCTGGTCGCCGAGGACTTTATCCCCTACTTCAAGACCGAGGAAGAGGCGCGCGAGGCGTTTGCGCTGTTCGACGCCGACAAGAATGGCGACATCAGCAAGGAGGAGATGCGCGAGGCGGTGCAGCGCATCTACCGCGAGCGCAAGGCGCTGAGCACCAGCCTCAAGGACATGAGCAGCGCCATCTCCAAGCTCGACAACGTCCTCATGTTTATCGGCTTCATCATCGTCGTCTTCATCTGGCTCCTCATCTTCAACGGCGACTCGACCGTCGACAACATCGTGCCGCTGTCGACCTTTGTCGTCGGCTTCTCGTTTGTCTTTGGCAACTCGGCCAAGAACATCTTTGAGAGCATGATCTTCATCTTTGCCACCCACCCCTACGACGTCGGCGACCTGGTGTGCATCGACGACGAGTGGATGTTTGTCAAGGAGTTTGGCCTCCTCTCGACCGTCTTCCGCACCACGACCAACCAGGAGATCATCGCGCCCAACGCGCTGCTGGCGTCGTCCAAGTACATCTACAACTCGCGCCGCTCGGGCGCCCAGTGGGAAGTGCTCAAGATCCAGTGCGCCTTTGACACGTCGCTGCAGACGCTCGACACGCTGCGGACGCGGCTGCGCGCGTGGACAAAGGAAAACGACCGCGAGTTTGGCGGGCCGCTCGACCTCAACTTTAACGAGATCTCGCAGCAGAATGCCGTCGAGCTCGTTGTCGCCTTTGAGCACAAGGGCAACTGGCAGGACTGGGGCGCGCGCTGGGCGAGGCGGACCAAGATGATGCGCTTCCTCAAGACGACGTGCGAGGAGCTCGGCATCCGCTACGAGCTGCCGCCCCAGCCCATTGCGTTTGAGCCGCGCAGCGGGCCGGCGCCCTTTAGGCTGGGCAGCGCCCGCCGCACGCCCGCCATGTCGCGCGTCTGAGAGCGTCGTCGGACCTCGCCCGCTGCTCCCGAGCGTCCTTTTTCCACCGCACGGTCTGGTCTCTCTCTCTCTCTCTCTCTCTCTCTCTCTCTCTCTCTCTCTCTCTCTCTCTCT